ATGTTTCTCGGGAGGACCAAACACCTCCATTATACAAGCAAGCTGTTCCTGTTCATTTTCTCCCGGGAAGATGGGATAGCCGCTGTAGAGCTCGGCCAAAATACACCCCAAACTCCACATATCAATCGGCATGCCATAAGACATGCCAAGAATGACCTCTGGCGAGCGGTAAAAACGACTTTGGATATAGGTATACACCTTCTCATTCTCGAAACAACTGGATCCAAAATCGATGACCCGAATCTCGGAACTCATGGGATGAACGAGAAGGATATTCTCGGGCTTGAGATCACAATGAATAACCTTTTTGGTGTGCAGGAGCGTCAGAGTGCCCAGGATCTGCTTCGTGAAGCGGCGTATTAGTTTGAGTGAGAACCCTTTAAAGTCGTGAGCCTTGATGAACTCATAAAGGTTCATTCCGAGCAGCTCCGTGGAGATACAGAGGTGGCCCCTGAAGTAGAAGCTCTGTGTGAAATTAACCACGCTGTGACGGCGATGCGGATCCCACTCCTTCAGTTTCTGAAGGAGGTTCACCTCAATCAGAGCTTGTTGGTGGAACCGTTTCTTGTTGCGAATGATCTTCACAGCAACCAGAGCTCCCGTCCTGTGGTCTATGCATCTCACAACCTGACCAAAGCTACCTTTGCCCAGAACATCGAGTACTTCATACCGATACGCAAGATGATCACCGATCACGATGTTGTAGTCACCACGATCATCGTCGTAGCCGAAGTTGGCAGCTTGCGCGTTCAGATCACCAACATGTTTCTTCGCATTCTGCGTTCCGCAAAAGTAGATATCCTTGAAGTCGATGATCTCTCCACGTTCGAAGATATTGAGGTTGGCCATTTTCAGTGCCTGCGCTGGGCTCACTCGCTCTTTCGGGCCTGCCTTGCGGCGTAATTCGTCCAGATTCCTGGCGGCAGTCTCAAAGTCCTTGCGCTTGCTAGCGAGTCTGCGCATCTCCTCGTCGGCTGCCAAAATGTCAGAGTCAGGGTTAGACTCATGCTGCTGGCGAGGGGTGGCTGCCGTGCTGGATTTTGCCGAATTGATCATCTTGTGCACGGGCGAAAAGATTGATGATCCGGATCGGAGTGGTGCCGTATTGCTTTCCCCGGACTCGTTCGAGACACTTGGCTCCAAAGCGAGACTCTGTTCACTACTCACACTTGGGTTCCGCATCGTTGAGACACTCGTGCCGGAAATAGATGACTGACGTCTTGTTTGAACGTACGATGGCTTGAGCGTGGGACTCGAATCTTTGACTGTGGACAGGTTACTCCAGGTGGCAGATGCTGGGAGTCTAGGCAGCGGCATTTGCTTCGCCGGATCCAGATCAGCACCTGTCGAACGTTGTGATTTGGAGTTGCTACGCTTTCTGGTCAGGGTGATCTTATTGAAGATGGAGGAGCCAGAAACGCTGTTGTTGTCAGGATCCGAAGGAGTAGACAATTGACTGATTGTGTCAGCATTCGAAGAGAATGCGGATGATTGAGTTTGAGGTCGAGGCCCAGTCAGCTTGTATGATTGCGAGATCTGTGGGGAATAATCGCCACTCGTGCTGGCCTTTTGTTGTAGGTTGCTGAAGTCGCTGCTACTCTTTGGCAACGTGTACGAGACGTACGGGGAAATTGTTCGCGCACCACCAGTGGTATTATTGTCAAAAGATGCCAATGCACTGGAGCTACTTGCTGTCCTCAGAGGAGCAGTTGTCGAAGTGCTCAGCACGAAATGGGAAGTGCTGCTTCGAGCGTGGGTGAAGCCCATTGTGTCGTCATCGTCTCGAAAGAAGAAATTTGCCTTGGAGGCCGTCATCGGCGTGCTTGGAGTCTTGGATACGACCTGGCCTGAAGGAGTGTAGGACTGCGCATCTTCTTCGCGGTCCTTCAGAGCTTCGATCTTAGAGGCCACGGGAGTGCTGAGAGGCAACAGGTTCAACGGGGGCAATTTCAAAGGCTGCAGATTCTTCTTCCCAAAATTGCTCGCCGGAGTCTTTGCATCGGGAGTTTTCATTGCTCGCTCAGCAGGATGGTCCGTAGTCTTTTTGTCGTTACCACTTGTCGCTGGTTTGTGCTCAGCGTCGTGGTCAACCTTCGGCTTCGGAAGACCAATATCCAGGGGAAGACTAGACTTCCGCGGAGCAAAGTATGCCTGAAAATCGCCGTCACCCTTGGGAGACTCGTAAGCCTTGGGAATTGCGGGAACAGGAGGGACTTCTTCGTTGTTTCCCCCCGTGTGTTCTGCACGCGGCTTTGGGGTAGGTAACCGGGAAGACGATTGATTCTGGGCAAATCTTGTCTGCAAGGAACTGCCGGAATTTCTCGTAGAGCTATAGCTCGTGTTGGACGACAAAGACAAGCCTGAACTGTAGGATTTCCGACTCGGGTCGGGCGTTGTTCTCGTCGACGATGGTGTGACGCTCTTCCGCGGCAGGCTAGACGGAGACTGGGCGCAGGACCGGGGGCGAACAGGCAGCGTGTCCTGTTTGGTTGGAGGAGTATATGGTAACGGAGGCGCTTGCGGCGCTGTAGAGATTCGCTTCATACGCCGTGCATCAGTAGGACTTATTGTTCGAGCTCCGAGGCCTGTCGCGTGTGGGGGCATAACTGACACCCTTTTCGCAGATGAAGCGGGCGTAGTTGCACTACCGGCAGGATTCTTAATCGGCGTCCGAACGGTATTAGTGGAACATGACCGCAAGTGGTCGGTCAATCCAGATGCGGTCAGCAGATGGTCACCAGGCTCTCGGGAGGGTGGTTGGAGCGACTTGGCTTTCATGCTGCGAACATTGGAAGGGAGCCTCGTCTTGTCAAGACCGTTGGAATCGAGATTCTGGGCATGTGGGCGGAGGCTTGCATGGTCGGCTGGAGCCGTATCCACACTTGCCTTCCGAGCAGACACGCTCTGACGTCTCGCAGATGTAGCAGCTGAAATGGAGCCAGGGCCTAGAGATTTACGTGGAGCGCGCGGAGCAGGCGCGTTTGCAGCGGAATTTTGGACAAGACTCTGGCGGCGACTCCGCGCAGCGGTGTTAGAAGCCGGAAGACGCGAAGATACCGATTCTGCGGAGGAATTCTGGCTCGATAAACGTGAAACTTCACTCTTTCTCCGCACGGAATTACTCCTTGACCGACTGGCGAAGCTGGATTCGTTGTTATCCGCCCACGGATTCCGCGTAAATGGACCTGAGAGCTGGCTTCCAGGGTGATTTGAAACCCCAGACCCCGGCATTGGAAAGTGATTTAGACTCGGCTCTGCCATGATGCTGTTGTGGAAGTCATCAAAGTTGACGGGGGCAAGGAAGTCCGTCTGGTCAGGAGGCGTATGGTTATAGTCCGACTTTGCCAGATTCCCCATGCTGGTGGAACGAAGACTGACGCGAGAGTTTGTACTCCGCGTTGATTCATTTGTTGAATCAATTGAAGAGTGTCCCGAGTGGAAAAAAGAGCCCGGTGCATTACTACGAAGCAGAAAGTTAGAAGTTAATGGCAATCAATAATACAACCCTCCTAGTCACGCTGGGAGAGACCACGCAGGGAAATTGGAGATTTTCAGCCCATACCTTCTGCGCGAGGGTTCTTGCGGCCGTGGGCCCTGCGGCACTTTTTGATCTCGAATCGACAGTCTTCTCTTGGTCATGATGCTTATGCGAGACCCAGCTGCTGTTTTTGAGGAAGGAGGAGTATCCGAAAGAAAAGGTGTCGATGCATGTTTATGCAATCGTCTTCGTGCGGGACCCTCTGCTATTTAGAGCCATACTCGTTAGCCATTGCCATTTGCGATTCCGCACCGGACAAAACCATCGCTTGGATATTTTACCTCCAGATCCTGAGTCTTCATTCCGAGGTGGACTGGTCGAGCCCGTTTGTCCTTTACGCAGCTGCCCCCTCCCTGGAGTCTGCTGCGACGGTAGCTTTTCCGGCATCCTAACCCTTCGATCCCAGTATTCCCAGTAGCGATCGGGGCACGTCCAGGGCGATTCGTTGAGAAGTTAGAGGTGAACGAGCAGCCCAGTGTCGTTTTCTTTTGCCAATGGCACAGATGCGTCACTGATTTCCCAGCCTTCAAAACAAAGAAGAGGCTTGACAACACCGTCGCGCAACCCGTCAACGGTCGCTACCGGTCCATTGCGGGGAACAAAAAGAGCACGTCTCTTTTGCCAGGAGTCGACCACGAAGAACCAAACCGAAGTACGCGGCCAGATAAAAGGATTGACAGCGTATTAATATCGATTCGGTTTCTTTCGAAGTGTCGACACAGGGTTGTTGGTGCGCAGAGGGGGAACTCTTCGTCGTTCGGTTGGACTTGGCGTTAAGAAAGTTACGGGCGTATATAATAAAATGGGACCACTAGAGCCCAAGCAAACGGGAAAGAAGAAAAAGGGGAAATATTGTTAAGGAACGAGGAAGGCACCCAAATATGATGAAACGAAAATCTACAGATGATATCGTGAGCAGAAAGAAGCCAGCAAGACCACCCAATGCAGCTAGAAAAATGAAGCAGAGGAGAAAAGTCGAGGAAGTGACAAAATATAATTATGGGTACTTGGTAAACAACAAGCTGTTGTTGACCTCTGCCAGTACGGAGGTACTATGGAGTAACCTAACGGAGTACTAACTATCGCAAGTTTCTTAGTAGTCTAAAATGTAAGGTAGTGCGTGCCCCCTGGCTCCTTTTCTGTAGCTCTAGAGATGCCTAATTGGGTAACGACAAGTGCAAAGAGGGCAAACTCTGCTCTTCTGAGATTAGTGCATGATGGGTGGATTTTGTCATTTTCTGCTCCTTACGGCAGATCAACCTGTACCCAAATTACATGTTCATTACCCAAATTACCAGCCCTGTTTTACGGAACCCGACCCTGCTCGGCTCATCCATATCAGAACAGTCGATGTGCATGTGCTTCTGTGCGGAGAGACCAAGCACTTCGGGCCATCCGCCACAAGAAATGCACTTTCATGCTTCAAGTCTATCTCTCGACGCAGATTCTAGCTTAGGGCATGATGGATGACGGTTGTACTGCTGAAGTTATTGCCAACCGTGACGAGCCCATCCCTGTTATCTCAGTCAACAAAAATGACGCCAAGTCACATCGGCATGGGAGGTCGGAGTCTTTGCAAGACAAGTTGTTCGCCAAGTTTGTACCCTCTCGTCTCTGATTTGGAGAATAAGCCTTTTGAGGTGCCAAATGGACTGACGTTATTGATGTAAGGCTTCTGGAGCAAGTCATTCCCGCAGAAGATGTAGACAATGAGTCTGTGTCGGGAGGCGACAAGCGTACGTCTCCAGATGTTAAGCGGCCAGCGTTTAGCCTTCCTTTGATGGCTAATAATTTTCGTCGCTTCAACGCGAGGTATGTCAGATAAAATATCTATGGGGAAATGTTGAACTTGCATGTTGCTAACAGCCTTGACAGGATCGGGATCGTTTTCCATTTCCAAAACCGAGTTGAACGTCTGCTAAGCTGGAGGAAATCCTCCCATACATTCTCTTTCCTTTTTATCTATTCGTTTATATGCCTGGATCCTAACCTCCTGGTGGTACTTCCCATTACCGTCATTTTACTATTCATCATGGTCCCAGCCTTCGCGGCACGTCATCCACCACCTCCTTCAATGTCTACTTCCAGCACCACACCCTATTACTCATACCAGGGTCCGGCACTTGCGCCTGCAAAGACTATCAAGCCAGCGTCTGAGACATCGAAGGACTTTTTCAGAAATATGCGTGATCTCCAGAACGTCATGGCTGACTTCTCTGATGTGCATGATGCGACTGTCTCGCTCTTTGCACCCATAACCAACTTCTCGAATGAAAAGCTCTCATCCACTGTTTTCCTTATGCTAACAATCACTGCTGCGCTACTGTTTCTGACAGCTCATCTCCTGCCATGGCGGTTTATTCTACTACTTGGTGGCAATGCGGCAGTCCTATCCAATCACCCCGGCCTACAAGACTTCTTGCAGAACCTCCTAGGAGACAGTAGCGGTGCTGTGAAAGCCGACGCGCAGGCTGACCGGGCGGAGAAAAAGGAGATCTTAGACCTGTATGGGTTGTCGATGCCATCGAACCCATCCGCCGCCGTATCGTTGCTTGATTCATTGGCTGATATTTCTCTGGATTCATATCCTGAAGAGCGTGAGGTAGAGATTTTCGAGATCCAAAATCGCTCCCTAGCTCCTTATTCTGAGTCAGAGTGGGACCATTTCATTTTTAGTCCAGTGCCATATGACCCGTTGTCACCGTCCCGCATTGCAGGAGACCGTCCAAGAGGATGTCGTTTCTTCGAAGACGTTCAGCCTCCACCTGGCTGGGCATGGAAGACAAAGAAGTGGAAGTTGGACCTTGACTGCCGCGAGTGGGTCGTTGAGCGCATGATTACCGGAGTAGGCTTTGAGATACCCGGGGCTGGCCCAGAAGGAAGCATGGCCAACGAAGAGATTGGAGGCTGGGTTTGGGACCTACCTTCTCAATCCGCGTCCAGAGACGAAGACGCCGTGGCCACTGCCCTAGGGTATCAAGATTACGGCTCAACCTCGAAGCCGGCCTCAATTCAAGAGAAGAAGAAGACGCAGAAAGGTAAGCAGAAGTCGGTCTCTCGAGACTGGGAGGAGCAAGGGCATTCAGGATTCAATGGCATGGGCGAATGGCGGAGGAGACGGTGGGTTCGGGTCGTGCAGAGAGTCAGCGTGTCCTCTGAGACCGACAAAGAGAAACCTTCGAACCAAGGGAAAACGTGATGTTGTTATGAGTACACTGGTGTAATACTTTATGATCTTGATCGAATGGGAGAACCTTTTATTAGACCAGGTTGCCTGATACTTAAAATGGCTCGAATGAGCGGGAATCCTTGTTATTCGTCAAGGATAGAGAATACTTTACCCTCATTTGCACCTCTGCGATGATTTCTACAAGTCCGCCCTCGGATGATAAGGTATCTATCCATTTTGATCTTCGTTTGACCTTGTGGTGCTGCTTGCACACTGTATCCATATTCTACAAAATACATTCATTCCTAATACGGATACTCATGCGGTATTTTACCATTCTAATATTGATGGTGACTAGGTACCCGAGGCTTGGCAAACCTTCATTTTCACACTCTATCAAATGAAACATGCATGCTTCCAATTTCTTCAGGGAATATCTATTCGATAATATATTGTTGGCAAATGTAAAACCCTGGGTTTCATTTATTTTTGGTAATAGAGACGGTAAGGCGTGAAATGTGGGGAAATTATGCCTAAGGTCGCCTCGTTTTCAGCCTCCCAAATTTCAGACCTAAAGCTTACCTGGTGCCTTAGGCATCTCGGCTTATCCTTCCGCCTCCGTCTAGAACGAGATACCTACCAACGAAGCAGAGACGCTTTGGACAACATTAAGAGAGAAGATTGTCTGAGTATCCGTCCAATCAATACTCAGGGATTAGATCTGAATTGATGTCTCTCGTTCAGAATTATGGCGTGCTTCTTTCTTGCCATCCACTATGGGTATTGCACACCGACACTCATTCTATATTGTTGCACCCCGCTCTGACATAATGATGCTAGGACTCGGCCAATGCTCGACTGTCGAGATGTGCCATGCATCATTTCTCCACGATACCTACCATTATCATCGTAGGGGCTGCTGTGTTTTACTTGCTCAGCCAGCTTCTGCACCGCTGGCGCCCGGAATGGACGAAACCCTTCATCTCAGAATGTCCCCGGGAGTGGCCAGACTTACCAGTGGAGCAGATCAAGCAAAGGGTGGGATGGGTGGTCAGCCTTTTCCTCATATCACTCGTAGGGCTCGCGGCAGAGATCGTAAAAGCAATTACAAATGGCTTTGACGTGGCTACTATAGCTCTCCTTGTGTCATGGGTAAGATAGCCGGCATTTTGGGAAAACTTGAGCTGACTCGTTCCTCAGGCAGTTGCCGCTATCTTCATTTGTATAGCACGTCCAAGGACATGTCCAGCTTGGATGCTTGCATTCTTCATCACAGGGCTTGCTGTGGAATTATCATTTATCATGAATCATGACGCGTACGCAGTGACAAGACTTCCTGCATATTATGTTGCGGGTGGCGCGGCTTTGGGTGGATGTGTTACTATATTGCTCATGCCTCTCCGCGAGCCTTCAGTTCCCATTTATGAAATCGCTGCTGTTGGACAGCCCTCATCCAGTGACTTTCGCAGTCCAGAAGACAATCTGAAATTGTGGCAATTCCTTAGTGTGTCATGGATGGCACCGCTGATCTCCATTGGGAAGAAAAGACGATTGGACGAGGACGACGTCTGGTTCCTTGGCTTCGAATTTCAACATCGCAGGTTACACGAGAAGTTTCGTCGACTTAAAGGCTCAGTGGTTGGTCGTCTGCTTCATGCGAATGGGATTGATCTAGTGATTGTTTCCACCATTGCACTTGCGATGATGATATGCGGTCTGGAATTCCTGTGCATACTACGGAGATGTTCGCTGATTTGATTCTCAGACTTCGCGACCCCAATATTGTTGCAGCAACTCCTTCAAGCCATGCAGGACATGAGCTCAGGGAAACGCCCTGCCATGACCTATGCGCTGGCCACTCTCATCGTTCGTGTGGTTGCGGCGCAATCGCAGGTACTCAACCTTTGGTTTGGTAGACGATGCTACGAAAGGAGCAGAGGGGAGATGATCATGATGGTCTACGAGAAGGCACTCTCTAGGAAGAACGTCTTTGACCCCCAGTCAGAACAAAAGGATGAAGGGGTCGCAAACGGAGAGCTTGATGAAGAATATGCCGACGATGAAGTGGAGATCCCCAAGCGAAGGAAACTCTGTGGGATATTCTCTGGGCGTCGGCAAACCACAAAAAAGCCGGCTAAAACGGCTGCCTCGATGGGCAAGATTTTCAATTTGCTCCGTGGTGATGTCTATGAAGTCGCCCAGCGGTTTTGGGAAGTCGACTCCTTGATTGACAAACCTCTGGGACTTATCATTGCAATCGTGCTTGTTTGGAAGCTGTTTGGGCCATCATGCTTCCTGGGAATCCTAGCAATCCTGGTTGCTCAGGTTTTGAACGCCGTCATTACCCGTACACTTCTCCGTTGGGAGAGAGTGCGGAGACTCGCAACCGACGCCAGACTTCAGATAACTTCCCAATTTGTCGAAGCACTTCGTCACCTGCGCTGGTATGGCTGGCAAGGCCACTGGTACCGGCAGGTGATGGATGCTAGGCAGTCGGAGCTGAACCTTCGTATCATCACCAACCTGTGGAGCATCCTGATTCGTTTCGTGAACACTTTTGCTAGCGGCGTGTTCCCTGTAGTGGCTCTCTATGCTTACACCCTTCTGGCCGGCCATCCTCTCCGCATTGATATTATCTTCCCTGCCTTGCAGCTATTTACTATGCTAGAAACCCGCCTTAGAGATATCCCTGGTCTCATAACGGTACTGATCAATGCATCTATCGCTGTCGAAAGAATTGAGGACTTCATGGCCGAGCCGAACAAGGAGACATCTGCCACCGACCCCGCCGAGTCTGCTTCTATTCAGCTACAGCATTGCTCATATGCTTGGCCTGGTCGAGTCGTCCCGGTGCTCTCAGGTGTCAATTTGACGATAACCACGGGTCTGACTGTCGTTTCTGGCAAGGTAGGGGCCGGAAAAACGGCTCTACTCCAAGCGCTTCTCGGCGAGCTGGACAGAATTGGCGGCTCTGCTGAAATCCCTAATGAGATGGTGGGCTACTGTGCTCAAACACCATGGCTCCAGAGCATGAGTATCCGAGACAACATCCTTTTCTCCGCGCCGTATGATGAACAAAGGTACCAGAGAGTTCTGGATGCATGTGCTTTGCTCCCGGATCTCGAGAATTTCGAGCATGGAGACCTCTCGTTTGTGGGTGAGAATGGTATAGGCCTTTCTGGTGGCCAGAAAGCCCGCGTTGCGCTGGCGCGAGCACTTTATAGTACTGCTAGGATTTTGTTGCTTGACGACCCAATCTCTGCTCTTGATCACAACACAGCTGAGACCGTGGTTCAAAAGTGCTTTACGGGCCCACTGATGCAAGATCGCGTCGTTGTTCTCGTTACGCATCGTACCGCGCTGGTTAGTCATATCGCCGATCAAATAGTCTATATTGAAGATGGCCGGGCTACAATTCACGGTAAACAGGCTGTGTCTATGGATACGGCCACTGATGAAGGTGTCCAATCCTTAGCAAAGACAGCCGAGGCCCAAAGTGAGATTCAAGGCGCTCTTCGAGAGGCTGCGGCTTCTGCCCCGACAAAGTTCATGGAGGAAGAGCACCGTGCGGAATGGGGCGTACAAGCCCGAGTCTATTGGAACTACATCAGGGCTGGAGAATACAGATGGTGGATCTCACTAGTATTTATCTTGGCCGTTTATCGGTTGACATCTGTAGGACAATCGTGGTTCCTAAAGGAGTGGGGAGAAGCCTACAACCAGATTCTTCTGGTATTCAGCCATTCTACCGCCCATGGCGGATATTCCTCAGGACAATGGGTTGTGCCGTATGAGTGGTCCCAGGTGTTCCGTTGGAACCCAACCGACCCCCTGGAGGAATTGCCAGCGCCATTCGATGATGTGCGTCCTTGGCTTCTGGCCTTCTTTGTGATAACGACGTTTCAATCGGCCATGCTTCTGTTTGCGCAACTTCTGATGCTGGTCATCGTCTACTGTGCAGGCAAGAAGCTCTTTCACCAGGTCATGGTTCGAGTGAGCCATGCAACATTCCGCTTCTTCGATGTCACTCCTATCGGCCGCCTGATGAACCGACTGACGTCGGATATCGGAGTGGTCGACGGTAACATCAGTGAACAATTCCAGGCTATTGCGTTCCAAGCCATCACCTGGATCTCCTCAATTGTGGTCATAGCATCGGTGACACCAGCATTTCTTGGATTCTCCTTCGTTCTCACTGCGGCATTCATTTTCACATTTCTGCAATTCCTGCCAACGTCACAGAGCTTGCGACGACTTGAGATGGTGTCTCTTAGTCCTTTGATCTCGAATTTTGGCGAGCTCCTGCATGGTCTGACGACTGTTCGTGCGTTCCACGCAGAAGAACGCTTTCAAAACAGAGTCATTGCGGTCGTAGACAAATTCCAGGGCATGGATCATTTCTACTGGTCGCTTCAAAGCTGGCTAATGTACCGATTTGAGACCCTGTCAGCTGCGTCCACGTTTTGCCTCACCGTCCTGGCATTATACACTAATGTCACTCCAGGTCTTGCAGCTTTTGTACTGATAGCCGCCAACAATTTTGTTACGTCCACTCATGCTTTGTGCAAACAATATGGCCAGCTACAAATGGATTTTGTCTCGGTTGAACGAATCGATGAGCTACTTCACATTGAGCAGGAGAACCCAGGGACCATTGAACCCCCGGCATCCTGGCCGCGGTTCGGGCAGGACATCACATTTGACGACGTTACCATTCGATACGCACCGCACCTGGAGCCTTCACTCCGCAACATTTCTCTTACAATCCCTGGGGGATCTACGACGGCCATCATAGGCAGAACAGGAAGCGGCAAGTCCACGCTAGCCGTCTCACTGCTCAGCGTCATTCGCCCTGAATCAGGCCGGATCGTCGTCGACGGCATCGATATCGCCCAAGTCGATACGCAAGCGCTCCGAACCCGCGTCACATTCGTCGCTCAAGACCCCGTTCTCTTCCCTGGTAGCATCCGGTTGAATCTCGACCCAACCGGTGAATACTCGGACGAGGAGTGTGCAGATGTTCTGAAGCGTGTCTGTAGTCGACATGGGTGGAATTTACAGACGCACGTCGAAGCCGGTGGCCGCAACCTCAGCCAGGGCGAGCGGCAGCTGATCGGTCTCACGCGGGCCGTTTTACGCCACAGTCCGATTGTCATTCTCGACGAGGCTACCGCATCTATCGACCATGAAAGCTCCCTTGAGATTCAGCAGGTCATAAGGGAGGAATTACGGGAGTCGACGGTTATCACCATTGCGCATCGGCTGGAAGCAATCAAGGACGCGGATTACTATGTCGTCCTAGATAAGGGACGGGTGTCAAAGCATGGCTATGTCAATGATAAAGGTACTTCTCAGATACAGTCATAGATAGAAGGATTAGAAAGTCTCCTAGAATGTTTACTAGAATCACGACTACGAGTCATTCTCAAGCAGTCACAAGGTGTAACTTTTAAACAACATAAAACATTTCTGTACATTGTAATTTGCAAATTCGAGAGTGATCATCACGGAATCATGCAAAACCAAGGTAAAACCACACGAAACATAGATCGACACGCCATCAGGAAATCCCAAACAACTAAGCCCACCCACACATCAACAAGACATGAGCCACCACCCGCAGGGAAACAAGCAGCATCATACTCCAACAAGCACCATCGCACACCATACTTCTCCCCGACCCGACGTTAACAGCACCCGTCGCAGTGGCACCACTCGAGCTCACAGACCAGCCACTCGCCGCAGGACTCGCCCCAGGCACAGCCGAAGGCACCACAGGAATGGAACTGGTCCTACTCGGAGAAGCCCCCGCCACCCCATATGCTGAAGATGTAGATGCAGATGCAAATGCAGATACACGCTGACGCCCCGCACCATCGGATACAACAACCTGTAGAACCGGCACCGCTGTCACCGCTGCACCGTCGACGCAGTCGCCCAGATTCCATGGGTTGTATGGCAGGGAGCAGACGCTTCCGTCCAGCGACGCTGGAGATGGGAAGTGGGTATTGACGCCGTCCTTCACGCGGGGAGTCTCAGAGACAGAGACGTGTACGGTGTCGATGCCAGCCTGCATTCCTGCTTCATCGCAGTTTCTACCGAGGGCGAAGAGAGGCGACTCCCAGCTCCCGCAGAGGGTTGTCTCGGGGATGTGAGAGATCTTGCCGTCGATCGAGTATCCCGTACCATTGAAGGCGCAGACTGCGTCTCCTGCGTGCTTGGATGATTCATGACCTTGGTATTCTCGTCAATTCGTATCAGAGGAAGTGATTATAGAATCTGGGGACGCACAAACTACGGCGCCAGTGTAGAGTGCTGGGATGAACCTCGAGAGCCTGGATATGGATGCCTGGTCAGTTGTTTGCGTTCGGTAGTGACCAGGGAGTTGCGTACATGGTATTGCAGGATCGGACTTCGATCATCGTCGTAGACACGCAGGTTATGATCGTCGAGCCCTCTAGCGAGCCTTCGGGGCAGTAGCTCCCTCCGGGTTTGGAGCAGATGAGAGTGTCGCTGGTTGGGTCGCTGCTGATTGTTAGCTCTTTTGCCCTCGTGGATATCTAGAATGGTAGGAAGGCCGAGGGTGGAAGATTACTATTTGACTTGGGCGCTTGCCAGCTCAAGGAACATGAGACTGGCGTATAGGAGGAGGATCATGGTTAGATACGTCTTCATGGAGTCAGGGTTGGTATCGGTATGCTTGAAGTTGAGTCGTCAAATGGAAGTGTATGAAGCGTGAGTAAAAGTGGCAGGATGGCCAGACTACTGAATTTACAGAGAGCTTGAACTAGAACTAGACTGCTGAGGCACTGTTTGTTGATACTACGCGTCGTGGTTGAGCAGTGAATGAATTGTGGAAGATGCCGTTACTTTCAACAGGACCATAGCACAGTTCAGCTTGGAACTACTTCACAGTCTACGAGATTCACTCCTCCACGGCTTCTAGTGACTAGGTAAATTCAATGTGAGACATAGTGGAGAGGAGTCAATAGTAGCCACTCAGGGACTCCAGCAGCCAGGCAGAAGCTGGGTTGACGGGCAACCTCGCTAAGACATGAAGGCATTCGATAATGGGACTCTACCAGGACACGAAATAGACGAGAATGACAAAAAGGAAGAAAGAAAACGGAACGAGCCATAGACACCCATCTGTAGGATGCCCAAGGCCCGATCCGTCCCGGTCCCGGTACCTATATAGCTGGAAAGGAGGCTATATTGGCACCAGAACCGTAATCGAACCGGAGACGTCGATGGCTACAGAAGCCCCGCAAGAGTCAGTGCTAGACTGACTGGCGTTGACCCCTGCACCACCTGCCCCGGTTCCTTGAGTGGTGCTCTTGCTAGAGACCTATGTGTTGCCCTTGGCTGCCGAATCGGGTAAGGTACGGGGATATGGATACCTGGGGAACAAGGCGTTGAGATGCTGCCTGAGGATATAAGTGCATATCGGACCTAACTGTGACTCTGTAGTCGACATGTATACCCCTAGAGTCTCGACAGAACAACTCATACTCTTATCTGGCAACAACAATGTCAGCAATGGTTCGCGTCAATGGGTTCGCCTTACCATGAGCCCCCTATGTTCAGAGGACCTCCACTACATACAAATGACGATAGCGATCATAAGAGAAGGTTGATTCCTCATGGAAGGCTGCTGTATCGAACTCTGACTTTATATTGATATGGTATCTGCAAGGACATGAATGTGATATAGGTCTATATGTAACAGTTGCAGACCTGTCGGATAGTATAACCTCACAACCGCAGCCTAGACAACAACTTTTGATATCAACAACCCATCAAAAACGCCGCATGCGCCTGGAATGCATCAAGACACAAACTATGAGGAGTGGTTCGCCTTCCACTTGCGAATCCTCCGTTTCAAATCACCCTCGCTCTGTTGCATAGGATTCAACTTCCTATCACGAGCCATGGCGCTGTAGTTCTCTCCATGACGCTCGATCAGCCTCATAATCCATTCCTCCTCCCGCTTGCTCTGGTGGCGGGGTTTTTTCGCCCTGACTGCCTGCCCTTCTTGGTCTGCCTGACGCTCCAGCTGTTGAACAATCGCGCTCTTGGCATTGGCTCTTTGTGAAGCGGGCTGCTGGGATGCCTCATCTTCAGACAATTCGTTCAGTGGGTCGTTGAGCGGATTCGAAGGTTTGACTTTGCGGCCGGCAATTTCAATCTCCTCTTCGTCACGAATCACTCGGATGATTTTGCCTGTTTCCGGGTCCCGTTCCACCCTAGTCTCGCCCATGACTGCCTGCTTTGCGGACGCTTTGGCGCTGCCCCTGATGTGGAGGGAATCCTCGGGCAGCTCCTCGATGCGCCCATCTTTGGTCGGCCGTTTTTCGCTACCACCAGCTGGAGCGTTGAGTTTGTGAACGAGTCCCAAGCGGCGGTAGTTTTGTGTCAGGGTCAATTTGCGATCCCTATCGCAGTGAAACACATGTCAGTGGCGATTCTTTGATCGATTCTAAGACTGGTAGTTCTTACCAATTTTGAGCGATAATGGCATTTCCCAGGACATTGATCTTCTTCTTGCCGCTCTTCAGCTGCCCAGTCCTCTTGGGCTTCTGTTTCGGCGTCGAGGACCGGTTTTTCTTCTTCTGTAGCACGCGACCCATCCTTCTTATACCCCTGTAGTGATAAATCGAAAAAGTGGTGGACGATAAAATTGCATAGCGGTTAAATCAATTCTTATCGATTTCTCCGAAACTTTTTAATGTTTGCATCTGGAGGCTTGGCATGTTTGCCGACATTAGCTCCACTGATAACGAGCTGTAGCAAACAATCTGTCCGATATCTATCGTGCTGGCTTGATCAGGGTATCATCCTAGAGTGTCTCTGCCCAATTGCTCATTGCTGCAGTCAGTATTTCACGACAGCAATGGCACTCAATTTATTCTCTCCTGCGCGCAGGACCGGCCTCGCGCTTGTCGCCGGTCTCCTCTTATTCGCTGTGCTCGCGGCTGCGACTGTTGGCAGTGGGGACAAGATCACTGTGGGCGACCTTTCCGTGGCGGAAATCGAAGACAAGTTGCAGGTAATTGCTTCTCAAGCTTGTAGTCTTTTGTGATTGTTAGCGCTGTGCGAATAAAAACTGATTTGCTCAGGAATGTCCACTTGTGGAAGCTCTCAATGAGCACAAGCGTGCGACCAGCCCACCAACAGCCAGTATGATGTCGAGGCTCTTTGCAGTCCTCTTTCCCGGCAGTCCTGCGGTCAATGCAATCCTGGCAACTGTGTACATTTCCGGACCTCCCAGTATGTGTGCTCAGAGAAACCATGTCATTACCGTGCCCGGATCTAACAGCTACAGACTTCCTCCTGGCACTGTGCCCACCGAACATCGACCCCTCATCCCTGTCTGTCATGGTTGCTTTCGCTGTCGGAGGACTTTTAGGTGACACTTTGTTTCATCTTCTCCCTGAGATCTTCCTAGGTGAGGACTCTCCGGAGCACGTGCGCTTCGTCATGGTCGAACCCAACCGGAATCTCCTCCTCGGACTCGGGATCATGGTTGGCTTCTTCACCTTCGTGGCCATGGACAAGGCTCTGCGCATCGCAACAGGAGGCGAAGGACATTCGCACTCGCACTCTCATTCGCACACACACACTGACGACTCCTCCCACGGCACAACCACCAGCTCCACCCCCAGCACCGCCAACACCGAGCTCCGCAAGCGCAAACCCGGCTCCTCCGCGGCCGCCACCAAGCAAGAACCAGAAGACGAGAAAGAGATCAATCCCAGCGTCAAACTAGGCGGCTATCTCAACCTCATCGCCGACTTCACCCACAACATCACCGACGGCCTGGCAATGTCCTCCTCCTTCTACGCCTCCCCCACCATCGGCGCAACCACAACCGTCGCCGTCTTCTTCCACGAAATCCCCCACGAAGTGGGCGACTTTGCCCTCCTCATCCAGTCCGGTTTCTCAAAGCGCAAGGCCATGGGTGCGCAGTTCGTCACCGCCATCGGTGCCTTCCTTGGTACATTCATCGGGATCGCGATCCAGGAGCTGGGTGGCGGACACGGCGCAGCAGCTGGTGATGTGACGGACGCATCGGCCGGGCTGCTAGGCACGAGTCTCACCTGGGGGGAGATGCTCTTGCCTTTTACTGCGGGGACTTTCCTCTACGTCGGGACTGTGTCGGTCATCCCGGAATTGCTCGAGACAGGCAAGGATAAGAGAGTTGAAATTAAGAAGACGATTGTGCAGTTTCTGGCTGTTGCTGTCGGGGCGGGGATTATGCTTGCGTGAGTACTAAATCCCGGGTTGTTGTGGACGCTGAACTAACTTTTCTGCTATGCAGTATCTCCTGGGATTGAGGTGTTGGTCTTTTAGATGTGGCAGCAGCACACTAGACGATACACTTGATGGGGACATAGTGATAGACTAAAAGTACTTGAAAGGACGCCGATGCAGTTGATTCATACCCGGCAAAGATAAAATTGCTTGAAAATGATCTAGCTCCGTGCATCTAGATAACCAATGTAAACGACGTGCGGACTCCGCATGCCACAATGCTGGCGCCAAAACTCCATCCACCACATGAGATCTGAAGATTGTATTCTAAATAGTGACAAGTTGCGCACAGAGTGCCCAACGTAACGCATATTGCGTCGATGCACAGAAAAGACAAAAGCAGAATGGTCTAGTATATCATCATTTCCTCCAACCACATCACTCGTTTTGGTGGTATACCTGCAAGCGTCATTAGCATCCCAGAGTCATTCCGAAGGACAAAGGAGCAACTTACAAAATAATCCGGCAGCCCATAAACGGAGTATCCCAGCCGCTTCGCCATCTTGGCGAAGCCCTCCGTTTCGACCAGGTGGTAGAAGGGAAAGGCAGGGAACATCGCGCCGTCACGATGCACCTCCGCCTTGACCATGAGCGCGGTGCCGCCCACACCGTCCAGCTCGATGACCTTCTTCGGGTTCGGATTAGCCGTATCAGCCAGATAAGCCATCAGCGTGCGGTAGGTCGGCATCTCGGCGTAGCCCTCGAGGAGGATCTCGTCGGGCCCCATCTCCGCCGCCATGCTCTGCGCCGTACTACTGTCGATCCACGAGTTGTAGTCATACGGCCGGACATCCATCGTCTTCTTCTCGGAGTTGTAGTACCGCTGGTAGCAGTTGGGCACGAGGACGGGGTAATCGTGGGCCGTGAGGTCCTGGATCAGCGTCGGCGGCGTCTCGACGATATCGGCATCGAGCCAGAGAACCCAAGCCGTGGCGGGACCGAGCGTCGTAAACAGCAGGCTGTTGCGAGCGCGGCTCATCGACTCGCGGCGCGCCTTCTGGTTCGACATCTTGTGCCGCTCCTTCTCGTCCTGCGACTGCAGGGGCGGCTCGAAGTCCTGGCGGAGGATGGAGATGCTCGCGAACCGCTTGTCGATCGGGCCGGACTGCGTCTTTGCGATGGCGGCTTCTAGTGCGGCTAGGGCCGCATTGCCTTCTTTGTTCTTGGGGATGATGAACCCGATCGAGATGAGCTCGTGCGGGTAGGTCAGTTTCACCACGTTGTCCCAGTATTCTGGCACGAAGCGGGCCATCGGTGTGAGGATCAGGATGCGTTCGCTGTTGGCGGTGGAGGTGCTGGTGCTGGTGAGCTTGTTCAGGTCGTACTGCACGACTGGGGGAGGGGCCTGTTGGCCATCGTGGCGGACGGGCTGGGATTTGAAAAAGGGTTTTGTCGGAGGTGAGAGGGGGTTTTCGGCAGCGTCGTCTTCGCGGCGTTGCTGGGAGGTGGAGGAAGATGAGGAGCCGGAGCCCGCGCTAACGGGGGACGCGGAGGATGTCGAAGGGGAGAGCACGAAGATGACGAATCCAAATGCGAGTATGGCCGCCAGGAGGAGAGTGATTGGATTCGTGCGTCGCATTGTGCGGGCGACGGCCATTTCTGGCCGTGTCGACCGGTGGTAACGAGCGAGGGGGGGCAGGAATCGGTATGGTTGAGTTGGTGACGAGGATGCGAGCTGGCTCGTGGAAATTGGAGATGTTCGATGAGGACAAGTCGAAAGATCTGGACCGGCGGAGATGTGGGCACAGGGAGATAATGCTTAGCCAGTAATGAAGTCAATTCTCGACCTGCGCCCCGACATAGCGGGATAGATGGCGAAGAGGTTAAATTTCGAGTCAATCGTGCAGAGAGAGTCGACGAGAGACGGGAGCCGGCGATGATGAGAAGGTGAAGCGATGGTCTGGCCTGTGTCTGCCCGCCCTGACCTCACTGCACTGTGGCCGGAAAAGAACACGCGGACCGACTTTGCAGAACCGCAGCTCAATCTCCCTTGAATGGTCGAATAGTCGATCTCCGAATTCACAACTGGCCAATGAGCGCCGAAAATATTTGCCTTCAACGTTGAAATGTGGACCGGAGCCCAGATCTGGGTTCCTGCGCGAGATGTGCTGAATGCGGAAATGTTGCAGTCAAGCTGGCCTCCGCTGTTGCGCCTCCAGCAAATGACCATCTGGCTATAATCGACGGACTAAGTTCATACCGATTGAATTTTGGTATCTCATTATGCTATATACAATGGTCTAGTCTATCATGGTTCATTAGGCCTGATTACCTGACTACAGGCTCACGGCAGCGACCGCATCACGCCCTCAAATGCAACCAAGGCCATCGCATTCGCCGGGAATGCTCGTAAGAAACAGGGCACAAAACCCCTCCAGTACCCTCTCCATCCTCGCTCGTGATAAACCGCCCTGGCAGCATCTTTCCACCGGCGGAACTTTCTTTCCCCATCACCTAGCGCTCCGCCCATCGGGTCTGTCATCAGTCGCTGCTTGACCACATCGGACGGGTACGAGGTCAACCAGAAGATCTGTGCTGATATCCCCCCGGCCCAGAAATTGATTACTGGCGCCGACATCGCGGTGTTGCTTTTCATCCATCGCGTCAGGACATCGTAGGAACCCCACCAAAAGAAGAAAAACGATCGGAAGAGGATTGTCGCGCAGAGGCCGCGGTATAACCCTGTGATACCGTGAGTGCGCAGCTATGCTGCAGTCAGCCGACGCTCGCTTCCAACACTCTCGAGATTGCCAATGACTTACAAGCTTTTTTAAACAATCGATGGGCCCGCTGTACATTCGCTTCGACTTATCTGCCGCATACTGAATCTGCAGCCGCGCCTTGATGTGCTCCACTGGAGCCGCTACGAAGCTGACAGTCGTACCGGCCAAAATACCGGCTATCCCATGTCCGAAGCTGGGGAGCGTTTTGAGATCAGATTGATAGCTCGCGAACGGCGTGAGAGACCGAATAGCGGGTTTCGAAAAAACATTCTCGAGCAGTAGTCGTCGGTACAACGTCAGGGAACCGAGCATGCTACCTCGTGGATCAGACCCCAATCATCCATTGTATCGATCACCAATGAAAGTACTCACACAGAGTCCATAACCATCCAACCGACCAGCGGCGGCGTGGCTCCCTTGTATAGCCCACTCACACCCTCCTTCCGCACCGTCTGTAGTACACAGTCCAACGGCCCCTTGAAATGCCCTTCTTTGCTCGTCTGTAATCGCACCTTTACCGTATCAAAGCTGCACATGTCTATCAGTCATAGAACAACACAGTAGGAATGATCACGTCACATACGGATGCCCAACTACACCATAAAACGCATATCAGCTCAGTCCTTAACGTCTCCAACAAAATCTCCTCCCACCAAGGAAAAAAAGGTAGGAAGAACATACCAGTCAACTTTGCAATCCCCGAAAACACACCCGCTACAAAACCCTTATATTCGCTCTTCTTCTCGGTCGAAACCGTCGCACCGGGGACCACGCGGGGTGTGCTCTGGCTTCTGCTGCCCATATCACCGGGGACTTTTGCGTCTACCGGGGAATGCAACGCTTCAACTGACGACATCTATGTGGACTCTAGGTTCTCCAGAGTAATGCTCAACGTCTATAGTCTGCCTTGACAATGTGTTATGTGTGATAATACGACTGATGATGGCGAGGTACAATATTCAAAATCCAGCGGCGATATCGGAGATTAGGCGTATGGGGTGTCCCATCGAGCGCGGTGCTCTGCTCAAGGGATGAATGACTGAACCAACGGTTCGATCGAGTTTGTGGTGAGCAAAGACAGAGATAAACTTCGATTGCCCATCGCAGGAACGGAGCAACAGTGATCGACCAAATAGGAAGGGAGACCAGGTTATAAATTTCAATGGGGATACTTTTGCGCCCCGCAAATCTGTGGGTGCGGGATTTCGGGGAGAGATCGCCCAGCTCCGGAGAGCACTTTACGACTTAGCGGTCTTGGTCGGCCGATCTCGCGTCAAACTATCCAGTGTCAACTAACTACCCAGATTTAACAGTTGGCTCTTAATCGATGGACAGTGGAGTCATTAAAACAAAACCAAAGTCAAGTGGCAGTCTGAGGCTCTCTAACAATTGACCGATCTAGCGACAATCGTCCTTTCAGGACGCAATATGTAAATACAGAGCAGAAGCAAAGTTCCCCGCAATCAGTCGAAGCCAAGATACGAAGACAGAGGTAACATGAGAAATTCTAAGTGTCCTCCCTTTTGAATCCAATTTCAACATCACTCTTGACTTGAGCAGGACAATCTGTTCTGGCCATGGCTGAATTTATATGAGACAGGATATAGGAGAAGAGCGGGTCTGGGTACCACAGGTGACATGTGAAAAGTAATAAATCAAGGCTGTATGGGGTATAAAATGAATGCAAAATGATGCAGGCTGATTTCAGCTCTTATGTGGGAGCCCATCTGACAGATGTGAGTTAACGGGAGAGTTGGAAAAGAATGAAAAAGATGCAAACTTCCATCCTGGATAACCGGCCAGGACATGAAAGGCGGCAGCAACAAAAAGGGAAACGGCATTGATCACCAATTCTTGGAGCTCTTTCGCGACTTCTGACGAGCCCGGTCGACTTCGCGAGCAATGAGCTTCTCAACCTGATCTGGCGCCGCGCTGGAGCTTTGGGAGTCGCTCGACGAAAAGTCTGAGCTCGTTGCACCAATGGTCAAGTAGCCGCCGGTCTCCTCCAGAGCCAATGGAGTCACAGGTCCCGGGCTGCGTAAAGGATCTAACCTTGGGGCTGAGGGACTCGGCGAGAGCGGCCGAGACGGTGCCCTGGAGAGAGTGACGCTTTCCACCAATTCTCTGTACTGTCTCAGCGTGTCACGAGAGCTTGACGATGTCCAGTATGACTGCTGTCGGGTATGCCGGGGCGAAGGAGGCTGTGCGGCCAAACTCTGGGAGTTGTTGGAGGGCTGGTAGACAGCGGGATGGAACCGAGGCAGGCTGCCGAGATGGAACGCTGGCACCGACTTAGCCGAGTTGTGAGGGCGAGAGCGTGTTGGCTGTGGAGATGCGGAGCGGGTCGAGGGTGACATGCTGGGCGACATGGCCGGCGAATAGAACGAGGAGCTATCGGAACGCATTCTGGAGGATGGTCGGTGGTATGAAGTGCGGTGATAGCGGTCACTGTCCAGCCGGGAGACACTCTCGCGGTTCCTCCAAGGCTTGGACTGATCAGACTGCGGGAAATAATCCTTTTCAAAACGCCCCGTCAACGGGGTGACCGGCAGATCTGAATCGTAAGGACTGCTCGGCGGTTTTGGTATGGGAATTGGACGAGAGGTAGAACGGCTGAGGATGACAGTTTCAGACAATTCTGAGATTTCCGAAGCGGGTGAACGAGGAGATAGCGGCGACGGCGGATTATATGTGGAAGAGGTAGCCGTCAGGTCACGCAAGGACGATAAGGAGACTCGAGTGGGGTGACCGTGCTTGGCGATCAGGCTTTCCAGTTGGTCTCGGGCTGAAGCTGCTGAAGGACGATGCGAGGGTGACCAGGAGGAGGGTGAGAGATTGGCTAAGAGCACGCGATCAGCAAGAATGACCAGAGAAGGGAACCAGACATGCCACACGTGTAGGGTGGAGAACTGGAGATTGATGTCGACGGTGCCAACACAAAGGGGGAAGTAAACAAATCATTAAAAGGGGATAAGATGAAACGCGGACGGTTCGCATCTAATGATGCCAATGAGAGCAATGGACAATCCGCTAGGAGGGGAGACAGGTGGAGAAGAGGGGTAAAAGAGGCATCTCTATGGTCGGATGGAGTGGCTGCGGGCATGCGCTTGAAGATAGACGCGGAGGATAGAAACAAACGGATAACTACTTACTGCCGAGCAACGGGGGAGAGTGTATTGAGCTGCAGGAGGACGGACAGAGAGAAGAGGATGAGGACGAGGAGGCCGAGAAGGAGGATGGTGGGGAGGCTGCCATTGAGGCTTTTATCCTTTTCCTTCTTAGGCGAGGATAGTTCTGTCCCTGGCCGCGGGAGAGATGAGCCCACATCAGCGTGCTTGCCCGACTTGGTAAGGGTGGAGAGAGACGGGAGATGACAACAAGGAAGAAATATGGAACCAGGCACAGGAACGGGTATCGAAAATGATCTCCTCTGGGGTGCCCCGTTTCTTCTCAGAAGCCGCAACAGCCGACACAATTCTGAAGAAGACAGATTTTCTTGAGTAGGTAGGGAGAGACGGAAGTGCTCGATGCTTCACACAAGGAAAACAGTGCAGTGCTTCCATAATCATCTTGCGGGAAAACGATCAAAGGAAAATCACACAGCAAAGAGTGTCATCAAAAATTCCTGACAACAAAACAAATCGTGACATGGCGTCATTGGAGGAGCTGCGGATACAAAAGCGCAAACTAGCAAAGAAATTGGGTGGACGGGCGGGACAAGTATGTTACGGTACGGTACGGTTACCGCCCATGGTATCACCCTTGAACCCCGGGTATTGGCGGATTTGCCCCACTCTTTCGCCCAGTCCAGCGTCCACCACGCAAGGGGTAAAGCAAAAAAGCAAAAAGGCAAAAGAACAAGGACATGCATGCTTTGTCCCAAGGCAGACGGAGAGTCAAAAAGGCAGAAAGGGGTGTTTCAAGGCAGGATAAGTGCGTGCAGAAGACATATCTCACTCACCTGCGACATGATTGCTGGTCTTAGTCAAATGATCCTGGCAAACGGTGACTGTAGCGGGTCCAATTTCCCCCTTATCCCAAACGCTGATTGGTGTCTGATTTGGCAAGCATCCGACAGACGCTATTTTCAGGTCGCTTGCCGTACGAACCGAAAATAGGAAGACAGTCAAATTAAAAAAACATGCGATGACGCAGTCCAGGAAATTTGTGGCTTGGAAAAATGTTGGTTCAAATGATTAAGCAATGACGACCTGCCAGGAGGACGAGCGGTTTTGCAATCAAAGTGATATTCAAGTGTTGAAGATCCGTTGTCAGTGGCTTGTTAGGAAGAAGAGGAAAGGTAGCATAAATGCATAACACACAGTCGACGCATATGTCAGGTCGTACGTGGTCAGATGCAGGACGACGAATCAAGGACATTAGTCAACTGGGACTGTCAGACGCGTCGGCAAGATGGGTTGGACTAGGCATCAGCAAGACAGTGCGCTACACTGTCTTTGTAAGGACAGGACGAAAGAAAGAAAGCTCTCAGCAGTGGCAAGGTCTGACAATCTTGTCCGAGGGCCAAAGAGATTCAACAACGGTCTGACCCAACGAGACGGGGTGAGCTCTGTCCTTAAGAGCTAATCGGTTGCCTTCAGGAGCATCGGGATTTGTCTACACCATCCACCAGGTTTCGCAGATAAAAGGAGCTCTGTAACCACACGCGCAAGCAGCGGGTGACCCCGAACCCTACTCACTGAGCTAATAAAAAAAAATGGTGTGGGAAAAAAAACAAGGCAGAGGCAGTCATCACAAACAGCATCACAATATAAGTGAATATGAGGGCTCACTTGAGAATTTGCTGGAAAGCTGGATGGCTGTGGATTTTACTGAATTTGGACAAGAATTGAGACCGTTTCCCACCATCAAAAGGAGCCTAGAAACCGATAGTGGGACATGGTCGATCTGCCGGGGTCAACAGCGAAGGTGACTGGCAGACGGGCAGTGCTGGGCTACGCCTCTTTCTAGTACTAGTTGCGACCTACAGTTTGAAGGTAGGTGGGCAAGGAGCACTGAATAATGCTGAATGAATAGAACAATGAGTATAGACAGGGTTGGGTACTGCTGCTAGTGTCGGTAGAGGTTTCCATTCTGATGCTGGAGTCAGTTCTTGGATACGCCGTACTTTACTCATGGCAGACAAGAGCTCTGTTCATACAAGCAGCTAGAATGATCCAATCAAATCACTTTATCGACCACACTAGCTACCTGTGTCGAGTCAGGGAAGCGGAGAATCGATATTTGCTTTTCCGAAGACCGTCTTCCTTCCTGTCGAGCGCATTATGGTTCTGATCATCACGATCCACAGGGTATCTAAATCATCCACCAGGCAGGGCGATCAGCCGACTCGCCCACCTCCCATAGCATTGATCCACCCCCGCCCGAGCGTCCTCAAAGTCTGCACTTTCGGATTTTTCTGCTAATGCACCATCCAGTGCGTCATGTTTCAAACAAGGTCCAATAGTCATGAGCGGATGACTGTTCCAAGTATCCGAGAGACGAGCGATGACCAACATGGTTCATTGCCACCGTATGCCCTGGGAAATGATATCCGACACAAGAAATAAATGCGAAGGCAACTTAACTGATATCCGTCTACTCCGTACCTGCAGTGAGATTCTTATTGGGTTGCACTCAAGACTGATCGACAACACTGTCTGAGTTGAAGTACTCCTGATGTCTTACTGAACAATGGGTGTGATTTGCAATAGACTCGACTCTCTCAGCCTTCATGACTGGGACACTCCCCTGCATAAGTTAGCTCCAGCCTACAGGCAACTGAACGCGCCAATCCGCTGCTCTCTTCCCAGATTCCAACTACTCAATCACAGCCTCGCAGCCGTTCGAGCAAAACTAAGCCGTGCGAAGCAGGGTGGACAATTCAAGACATTTGCGCATGTCTCGCATCCACACAGTCTTGTGCCGCACATAGCTCCCTCTTTCTATTTTAGCACGATCTCGATCCGGATTCTGCAGAACCGGCACATTATACCGGCCAGTCATCCTGATTTGATCCCTGGACGGGTCCTCGCATGACCTAGTGGGTGTGGTGACTGTTATGGCCGGCTGAGCACTATTAGTGAGTATCCTATCCTGCCTTGCAGCAGGAACCTTACAAGTGATTATCTGGGCGCTCTGGAATCTAGACAGCCGTCTGGTTCTGGAATCGGTAGGCTCCAGAATTGTGGAATTTCTACTGCATGCTGCAGGTCAACGGGTGCCTACTGCAGGTGCTGACATGTGCGCCGCTGAGGCAGCGAATCCTGATCCTTGAGCCAGCCATATTATTGACAGGCTTCTAGGATGATTGTGATACTCTAAATGGTCAGGGATGAGCTTTATGATCATATGGCATTATGTTATTGGAATATGGAACACATCTGGTCTAGGAAGCAAGACATTCGGCTTGAAAAAATAGCCTGCAATAGCTGGAAACTAGTGGTGGCCGATGACCTTCTTAGGTTGATACAGATCGTCAATACTCTTGATCTCCTCCTCCGTGAGCTTGAACTCGATCGCCTGAATCGCCTCGTCCACTCTTTCCTTCTTGCTCAACCCCACAATCGGCGCAGTGATGAACGGCTTCGACAACGACCAGGCCAGACTCACTATGGTCATCGACACACCGCGTTTGCTGGCAATCTCATCGATCTTCTCGCTGATCTTCTTGTCCGTCTCGGTAAACGGGTGGCCCATTAGTTTACCATTCAGCGATTTCCCTCGCGTGGTTTCCTCGAATGCTTTCCACGGCCGGGTCAAGAATCCCATCGCGAGCGGACTCCATGGAATCGCACCCATCCCGAACTTGGCACATGCGGGAAACATCTCCCGCTCCTCCTCCCGGTAGATAGGGTTATGAAAGTTCTGCATGGAGATGAACTCAGTCCACCCGTTCATACGCGCCGTATACTGGTACTCCAGCAGCTGGTGCGCCCACATCGACGACGCCCCGATATAGCGCACCTTGCCCGACTTGACAACGTCATGCAGTGCCTCCATCGTCTCCTTCACAGGCGTGTTGGGATCAACCCGGTGGATCTGTAGCAGATCAACATACGGCAGATCCAACCTCTTCAGACTCGCCTCGATACTATCGAAGATATGCTTCCGGCTGAGACCGTACTCGTTCACGTAGCCGGCGTTGTCGCGTTCCTCGTTGGACATGAAGAGGGGATACTCGTTGCCGCGACCGACGGGCGCCCACACCTTGGTCGCGATGACGATGTTCTCGCGCCGCCAATTGTATTTCTTGATCGCCTTGCCGAGAATCACCTCGGAGTCGCCGTTCGAGTAGACATTAGCAGTGTCGAAGAAGTTGAGCCCCGAGCGGTAGGCGTGGTCGAGCACGGGGAGTGCGTCCTCTTCGCCTAGAGCCCAGTCGAAGCGTTTCTCGGGGCTGCCGTAGCTCATGCAGCCCACGCAGATGGGCGAGACGCGCAGCCCGCTGGATCCAAGTTGGACGTATTTCATTTTGACACTATTAGTAGCCCTATGCTTTTTGTACCCCTCGATGAAAGCACCCTGAAGATAGATAATATACCATCGGCTCCACCGGAAGGCCGGACTTAGACACTCGTTTTATATCCTATTTCCGATATTGCCCTGATAGTCATCATTCTACTCAGTTTCACTTGCGCAAGAAACAGGGAATTCAGATATTCTCCTGCGTTCAATCCACCAATGAAGCAAGCAGTACAACCCACTACTGCAATCGCGGGTAAGGTAGTGCGGACTGAGCGGGGTAAATAGCAGCCATTTAACCAGATTGCAGGATGCAGGATGCACAGCTGTCGGTTCCTAGCTGACTCAAGTCGCTCCATTCTAGGATAATTGAGCTATCAAGGATAAAGTAGCTTGCTATAATCATAGAGTTTCGGAGATAGTGCCGAAGTAACCCCGCATATACTTGCAGTTGCTCCGGGACGTCCATTGAAGCATCCATATCCATCTACATCTATTGTGCTGACTAGAGAGTTCTTCCTTCGAGAATACTTCAATACAATGTAGAACTAACCTGTACGGAGTACTACGTACAACCACGGAATGAAACCTCCCATCCAGGGAACTCCCCAAACCGCCCTGATATCAACATTCGCCCAACATGACGAATGTGGCCAACCAACCCATCAACCTATAAACCCTCGACTCGATCGCTCACCACCCGCAAAGTCAGCAGAGACCATCTGAAAGAGAAATACTTGAGAACATCAGAATGTCCCTGCGCGGCTTCCACACAACCTCCGACACCATCGTCCTCAAAGACAAGCATATTCTCAGCAGTCGCTGCAAACGGCCTGACGGCACCTACTCCTTCTCCGAGATTGATCTGAATGATTGTCTGGGGAATAATAATGGTAAGTTTGACGGTATCAGGGTGATGCGCTGTGTAGCGGATAACGGACGCTAAGATGTGCTTGTGCTCTAGGGAAGTTTGTCTGGGGCGGGGAATCGTTCGCAGACAGCGCATCGCAGGTGCATCTTGCGTTGGAAGGAGGAGAGGGAACACCGATGTTGCATGCGCAGCTGAACGACCGGCATGGGAGTGTGCAGTCTGCGAGTGTGAATCTGGGAGAGTGCATCCAGAATGAGGCGGGGGGGTTGGAATATATGCATTGTTGAGGTGGAAGGGCAAGTACTAGAACTACATGAGTAGATAATACGAATATACATGAAAGTCAGATCATCCAAGAACACCCGTCCAGCCATTGTCCGCCGGGATAAGGGCGCCGTTGATCAGTTTCGAGCCCTTGCCGCAGGCCAGAAACAGGCACATGTCGGCTACATCGTCGATCTCGCACAGGCGCGCTTTGACGGCACCTCCGATCTCGACGGCTTTGTCTTTGCCCTCCTCGTTGAGGCCGGCTTGAAAGGCGTCGGTGATGTTAGTGTTCATGCCGCCCAGCAGCAGCCCGTTGCACCGGATGCCCTTGTTGCCGTAGAAGGCGGCCGTGTTCTTGGTCAACCCGACAAGACCGTGCTTGCTCGCTGTGTACGCTGCGCCTGCTTGGAGTTAGCAATAGGAGTACTTTAGTTGTCGGAGAACATACCCGCTGCCCAGCCGGCCTTACCGGCTACAGAGACGATGTTGATGATACATCCATCAGGGGTAGGCTGCGCCAACATATTCCGCACGGCTAGCTTGCTGAGAAGGACTGGGGCTGTGAGGTTCACGCCAATCACTTTATCCCACAGTGCCTCGTCGAGATCTCCCACGGGATCAAACCTGTCCATGATTCCAGCATTGTTAACCAAGATGTCGAGCTTCCCAAAGTCCGCGATGATCTCATCAAAGAGAGTTTGAACCGCGCTCGCGGAGGTTATGTCCGTCTTGATAGCTTTCAATCGACCGATTTCCCCCAGTTCTGCCGAAGTCTGCTGTAGTCGGTCCTCGTTGATATCGCAGATCACCACGTTTGCGCCAGCCGCAAGGAAAGTAGACGCAATGGCCTTGCCCAGCCCGCCAGCTCCACCGGTGACCAGGCAGGTCTTGCCAGCAAGTGAGTTTTCAGATGATGGAGAGAGCATATCGAGTACTGTCAAATACGGAAAAGGATGGATGATCCAGCCAAACATCCATCATGCCTGACTGTAGGCTTCCTATATACATACTCAAGTTCGTGCAAGTCCTCCTCATTCATGGAATGCCGAGCACCCGCGAACACGCAACACGACTTGCTAATGGTACGCCATTCCCGTCCAAGTCGAGAGCCTCGTTTGGATGGTTAACTAATATGGCACGTCCCCGAATTATACAGCCATTCAAAGGTGGGGATAGTCCGTGTTTGGAAGCGAACATCGTATTGCGTATTCGGTGGATAGTCACGTGATGAATTAATTGACGCCTTAGTGCCGTATTCCTGCCATTTATCCTTTCAGCTGACTTGGGCCCCAATCAAAGTGTGCAGTGCATAGTACTAGCCAATGTTGCTATAGTACTCGTGACCTCGGTTTGAACCATGTTCTGAGTTGTTTGATATGACTAGGCGAAGAACCGAACATCGGAAACAGGGCGATTTGCAAATGCCGCTTATCGGCTGAGCTACATTGCCGTTGTCGGGAGGATGAGAATCTAATACAAGCCGGACATCATGAAATATCATGATAGAGACACTTGGACATAATTTTCGAATTCACTACTCGAGCGTGCTGGGTTCTAGTGCAGGAAATAATCATCACTAGCAGCAAGCCATCCATCAGTATGGCCTCATTTGCGTACGTCTTCCGAGTTCGTGTCAGTTGAAGACTCCTAACGACCAACAGGAGCAATACCTTTTCTCACCAATTATATGCGGCTTTCCGGCCAACATACTCGAAGCAGCTCTACTCCGCCGTGCTGGCATATCATAGAGGTCCATCAAAGACAGCCCTTGACTTGGGAACAGGCCATGGTTTAGTCGCTCGCGAGCTAAGTCCGCATTTCCAGCAGGTCCTCGCCAGCGATCCATCCGCAGGGATGATCCAAGAGGCACGCCAGTTGTCCGCAGGTTTCCCCAATATAACTTTCCACCAAGAAAGAGCAGAAGAGTGTCCTTTTGCTGCAGACGCGCAAGTAGACCTAGTAACCGCTGCGCAGAGCTCGCACTGGTTTGACTATGCCAAGTTGTGGCCGGAGATGAGAAGAATCGTCCGATCCGGAGGCACGCTGGCTTTTTGGGGCTACAAGGACCATGTGCTCGTATCCTACTCCAGAGCAACCAGTATCATCAATGAATATGCATATGGGCAAGATCCTTGGCTGCTGGGAAGCTACTGGCAGCAGCCAGGCCGCAGTATAGTGCAACAGAAACTGCGAGCTGTCCAGCCGCCGGTTGAGGACTGGGAGGATGTCACTCGCGATGGGTATGAGCCTGGAGCAGACGGAGGGACACGGTTCATGCATGCGAGAATGACTTTGGGGTCCATGGAGGAATATGTCAGAACATGGAGCTCGTTTCACGCATGGCAGAGGAAATGGCAGGATAGGACGAGGAGGGCTCCTGGGAATATCGATCAACGTGGTGATGTTGTTGATGAGATGATGGACAAGATTCGAGAGACTGAATCGTCTTTTCAGCGAGATAACTGGAAGGATGTGGAGGTGGATGTTGAATGGGGGAGTGCGTTGATTTTGGCGCGGAGGAGGTAGCCGCTATGTCGCACCTATTAACAACATAGATTGAAATGGAAAGATGAAGAAGTACCCTGACAAAATGCCGACGATGTAAGGCCCTGTTTTGGGTGTGTTGGAGTAGAATTAGATACACTTTCGTCAACCACGGGCGTGTGCGCACGCCCTGTCAATGGCATTGCTGCCCCACCAAATATCGAGCCACACATTCAACAGAACTGTCAAATATAGAGCCCAGGTCAGAAGAAATGTAATAGAATTATTGTCTTCAAGAAGCCACTTTCCCTTTAGTGCTTAGAGTCCATTCATCTGGGTCTTACATGTTGCGTTCCATCCAGACCCTTCGAACTACTTGTCACTGGACTATACTACCTTCATCAACACGGCGCGCAAATTGACCAGCGTCATTTTCTTCCAAATGGCTCAAACGGCAACTCTGCCAACAAATTCTATCAGAATTCGTACGCACAAACCTGCAGACATAGACTGGATCATCTCCCGCCACGGCACCCTCTACGCAGACGAATACAACTTCAACGACAAGTTCATCGCCCTAGTCTCGAAGATTGCGTCAGAATTTCAGCAAAATCATGATCCTACTTTGGAGCGCTGTTGGATCGCGGAGCGTACTACTGATAAGACCATCAATGAGAGAGTGGGCTGTATGATGCTTGTCAAGGACACCGACTCGCCTGATACAGCCAGACTGCGCTTATTTCTTGTGGAGCCGCGCGCTCGGGGAATGGGAGTCGGAAGGTCCTTGATCAAGCAGTGTATTGAGTTTGCGAGAGAGGTTGGATACAAGCGGGTGGTCCTCTGGACGCAGAGTATCTTGGGTTCGGCGAGGAGGCTATACAAGGCTGAAGGATTTCAGTTAGTGAAAGAGGAGGAGCATGAAGGGTTTGGGATGACGTTGGTAGGAGAGTTATGGGAGCTTGAGCTAGAGAAGAAGTCTCAGGACGAATAGTACACTGGCTAATAGTGTAACTGCTGCAGTCAATCCCTGCGTAGGTGTAATGAACTCGACTGCAACAGCAATTGTTATACTTATCATGAAGGTAATTCAGCAATGCGATAACGCATAGGGCACTTTAGTGTACAATCGTGTCTTATTGCCTAGTCAGGATGATCGGCTCATAAGCCACCACAGTCTTGTCAAGTCCCTTATGCTGCAGTGCAGCTTCGATCACATGTAAGTGCTCAGCGAGGCGTCTTGCATGGGTAGAGCACAGAATACAGCACGGAGATCCAGACCATGGATCGACATTGATTTGATTATTCGTGCCACGACCGCAATATGACACGCTCGGGAGGCTTCAGGTGTCATTAGCGAGCGCAACGCAAGAAACTACGATAGCTCTTGCTAATCTAGGCTTTGATCTCTCCTTACTCAAGGTTCAGCCAGAGCTGAATACCACGAACTTGGGGTCACAATTATTGATATAAACCTAGAGGAACTCGGCGTGTCTTTGCAATTTCTCCCGGAGACCTTCTCTACGTTGCCGCGGCGATTCTGAGTGACCCGCAGGACTGAGCACCTGCCTTATGCTATTTGGAGAGTCATCGGGAATGTTAACCGGCCCGGTATCATACACATGATTCCGCCAGTAAGTTCGGAAGTGCTTAACGCTGAATCCTGAGCATTGGAATCTCGTGAATCACGATGTGCTCTACGGTATGCTTGAGGACGCTTTGAAGAGCACAACACCTACCTCCATATCCACTTCACTGATTTGTACTTACGGTGGACGTTCGTCAACATGGCTCCCAGTTCGGAGAGATATGCCTTGCAGAGACAGTGATATCTGTCTTTGACTCGGGGAATTGGGTTGCTGATATCAATGTTTTGAAGACCCTCGGAAGTGGCTTTTTGGTGCGGACCCAGGAATGCCGCGAATGCGAGTCAAGCAGGGTAGAATCAATGCCTGCATTTGTCTGTGTCGCAATCAAGAATTAGGATGAGATTTTGGATCCGACGACTGACCCAGCCGTATTCTAATCTCACAGCAACTGGCAGGCAAGACTGGCGGCAATGAGTATCTATATAGAACTTCAGCACCGTGCCCTGCTATCTCAGAATCATCGTTGCGCGGGCTATGCAGGCAGGGCTACTCAGGAGAACGATTATCTGCGAGCCCCTAACGTTGTGTAGCTTGTCTTTATATTGTTAGTGATGAATAAAATGTGCAGGCAACACGGTATACCAGATGAAACAAAGTAAGGTAGGCGATGGCGACAGGAGCAAAGCAATGCTGACTGGGTGAGTCTCAGCCTGAGTTCTGTCTGAAAAAAGCTTCAAGAATGGCTAGCAACTCCTCCACAGTACTATCTCCGTCTACTTATCTCGGTCTTCGTCCCAGTTGCCTACCTGATCAATTGTGCTAGTATTCCTGAATCCTGATTGATCCCCATCCCCGAGAAACGAATACTTTTTCAGCGCGATGATGGCTTCGGTCAGACCGGATCGCCTGTCCAATTGTAAGAATGGATCCTATTGGGAAAGAGTGGCCTTTCGATATTCCTCCAGGTTCGTCACCTGGGAAAGTTGGATGAGGTGGAGTAGAGTAACGGCGTTATCAGAGCGAAAACCACAGGTCCTTCTTGACAAATGTAATGACACTCCACGATATCTCCGCACTTTCTCACTTATGCCGGGCACATTATTAGACTATCTAACATCTCTCTTAGCTGATTCGTCTTCTCTGCGTTCCCCTCACGATCATTCGACTTTAATCTCCAATTCGACCCACCTGTCATCGCGGAGACCTTCTCGATTGGGAAGTCTTGGTCGACTATCTATCTTATCCTTATCAAGCCTTCGCTCTCTACCTTCAACCCTATGGCTTCCCCGTCTGTTGTTCTAGTCCGAAGGGGTGGTTCCTGTGTCAAGGGAAGATGCAAGCTCATGGAGGCTTTTGGGAGGGGGAGTCGAAGTTTAAAAGCCCCTTGACTTCGGCAGGGTCATTTCATCTCGAACCAACTTTCTGAAATCGCAAGAGAGCGGTACTCTGTGCCTACTGTCACCATGGCGGTCATTGAGGAGGATAACAAGCAAGTCTTTCAGCCGACAGCTGGAGAGGATGTACGCCTTGAGAATCTCGGCTATGAACAAGGTGCAAACACTGGTCTCAAATGGATAGACTATACTAACGTAGAACAGAGCTCAAGCGGACCTTTGGCCTCTTGGGTATGATCGGTTTCAGCTTCAGCATCGTTACATCGTACGCCTTCCTCCTTCCTTTGTCTCATGGTGGAAATGCATGCTGACTTATTAGATGGACTGCCTTGAGTGGCGTGTTTATTGTAGGAGTCACATCGGGTGGACCTCCGGTCATGGTATTCAGTTTCATCGGCGTCAGTCTTCTTACACTTGCAGTTGCAATTCCCATGGCAGAGATGTGTTCCATGTACCCTGTCGCAGGGGGGCAGTACTCGTGGGTGGCCGCTCTGGCTCCCCCAAGGATCGCACGGGGGCTGTCATACATAAGTGGATGGTTCATGCTTATAGGTATGTCGGTAGATTCTCGATCATTAGGTATTTTGCCGCATATTTATTTGAAGCAGGAGTTCTTGCAATGGGTGCCACGAACAATTACATCGCAGCCAACTTTGTCCTTGGAATGGCCAATCTCGTCTTTCCTGAATACACCATCGAACGATGGCAGACCGTTCTTGTTGCCTACCTCGTTGCTTTCATAGCGGCCGCCGTCAATATATGGGGTCCTCACCTACTCAACCGCATATCACGCTTCATCCTGATCTGGAACGTGGGCTCCTTCATCATTACCATGACCGTCCTCGTCGCCACAAACGACCACAAGCAGCCCGCTGCATTCGTTTTCTCCGAGTTCCAAAACTTCACCGGCTGGGGTTCAGCGATGGCCGCTATCGTCGGGATTCTCCAGTCCTGCTTCGGGATGTGCTGCTACGATGCACCCGCACACATGACCGAGGAGATGAAGTCCGCCTCGAAAGAAGCCCCCAAAGCCATAATTCTCTCCGTCGTACTCGGCGCATTCACCGGCTTCGCATTTCTCCTCACCCTCTGCTTCTGCATCGGCGACATCAACGAAACAGCCGGCACGTCCACCGGCGTACCCGTCATTCAGATCTTCTACGATTCGACGGGCAGTAAAGTCGGCACGTGCTTTCTGTCTAGCATGATCGCCGTCATTGTCATTGTTGCGGGGAACAATCTGCTTGCGGAGGGCTCACGCTCAGTCTACGCGTTCGCCCGCGACCACGGCCTGCCCTTCTCCAAAGTCTTCGCCAAAGTTGAGAGCAAGCGCCAAGTGCCCGTAAACGCCGTGCTGCTGACACTGGCCGTACAACTCGCTCTGGATGCTATTGATTTTGGCACCACGACTGGATTCGAAACTGTCATTGCGATCGCAACAGAGGGATTCTGTAAGTCTTGCCGGGGTCAGTCATATGCAGAACCCCTGCTAATCCTCTACAGATTTATCATACGCAATGGCCCTCTTCAGCCGTCTCCTCGGCTACGTCACTGGCCACCAGAAAGAAATGAAGGGCCCCTTTGCTCTGCCACCGTGGATGTCAATCACGCTCAATGTCCTGGGGCTTCTGTTCCTGCTCTTCGCATCTATCACTTTCAATTTCCCGACCTACTACCCCGTTGACAAGGACTCTATGAACTATACTTCCGCCGCGATTGGTGTGGTTGCGCTGATCAGTCTTGTTACCTGGTTCACTACCGGTCAGAAACACTTCACCGGACCGGGAGGCATGAACGTGTTGCATGGACAGGAGACGGCGGCTCAATCCGAGGCAGAGGTAGAGAAGAAGTAATCGCGATGCAGATGCATATATCTTGTATATAGTTAAGAATCTACCGAACCCAACACTCGCTGTTAACAGACCTTGCCGGAAGTGAAAGTGGACACAGGTATCTCTCATGTACTATAGTTCAACGGGAGTAGTAACCCTCAAAGCAAGTAACTTCCCTTGCCGCAAGGCTATTTAGTCGTCTTCGCAGTTGCAGCATACATAGGGGACACGTCATCCGCATCACACCCAATCACTTTCAGTCCGCGTAGCGTGTGAGAATTGAAAGCCGTTCGCGAGTCGCAAAGCCCCTGGCTCAGCGGTTCCCGCTGTTGTCCTTCATGAGCACCCATAGCATGGACTATCTCAGTGTATAAAACCAGGCGTGCAGAGAGAAGCAGCAATACCTCTTCACAAGGTGGAGGAGGAAGGCTCTGTGGTTTACTCCCTTAATGCATAGAGTGGTTAAATTGTTGCTATGTGCTCGGTTCACGGCTCACTGGAGATGTTCCTGTCTAATTAAGTGAAGTTTATTCCTGTGCCATATGAAAATACCTCAAATTTGTCTACTCTACCTCGCATTCGGATCTTTTCACATGACTGCTTAGTTCCTCTTACATCCCGTTTTTAGTTCCCAAGCTATCTTATGAAAAATTCAAAACCACTAGACGATGTACGGAGTACTCCTTTCAACACAGATGCTTCCTGTGCAATAGTCGTGTGCCCAATCGGGAAATAGGACCGACACTTATCCGAGTAGCTTAAATGAGCCTTCGATTAGAAGGCATACTCGGTATTTCATTCAACATCCTCTCATCTCCTGTCTAAACTATCGCTGCAATTATCAACCGATACTCTCGCTGCCAAGTCCGCTTCCCCAGTCGGCGACAGTCTGGTTGATAATTTCAAAATCACACTATATACCACTCGGGAAAGAACTGCGAAAGTGATGGATCCATTCGACCGACTTCCCTGCTTCGTCCTACAAAATATTCTTTCGAATCTGGCAGATTTGCCCTCGCTGTATAGATTGCATAATGCATCTCGGGTTGTCGCGGCATTCCTCCACGAGAATAACGGTCGATTCGCCGTGATTGTGGACGCGATTACCGGAAACCCAACTCGCGAAAGGGGCCTGCTGCCACATGTTCAGCATGCAGTCAGGCTCTTGGTCCTTGTCTGGACCCGAGCCTCGGATTTACAGCCCCGGCAGGCGAATGACGAAGCTGCAGAGCCACTAGAGGGGTCATACACAGACATTCTAAGCACCCTACGATATGTTAGAGAGCGGTTCCCCCAGAGAGAGCTTCCAATGGAGAAGATAATATCCAGGTCAACGCCGTCGGCCATTCTTTGTCAGCTCCTTGTCTTGATAACCCGCTTGCGTCGCATAGCTCATGCTTGCTTCCATTCAATGATTTCTAGGTGCTTGAAGTTGCCGGTGGAGCATTTGCCTAAGAAGACTAAGAAATATATCAATACGAGGAGTGTAGTTGACCGGAGTCAACGCCCTCAGGGAATTCCTTATGTTCCTCTTGATATCGGACCAGCAACGTGGTTTGAGGAGCAACGCTTACTTCACGGTTTACTCTGTATTGTTCTTTTTTATGAACTTCGGAAGACACACGCGGAATGTTCAGTTATAACGACAGACGGTCAGCCAGCCCAGACGTTGCTGGATGACAACGTGGAAGGGTTCTGGAAAACAATGTTATGGATGTACAACGACGGCCAGGTCGAGCAGATAACAACTCTTCTTCAATGGCTAGATGAACAGGCAGGTGGGCGTGGAACGTTATACTCCTGGTTGCTCTCCAGAGCAATTCCGGAGCAATTCAGTCATTGCTGCGGTCGTTATACATCAATGACAGAGGAGCAATGGAACAAGGCAGAACTGGATACGTCTGGTGGCTGCTCTTCCCAAGGCACACGGTGTTTATGGCAATGCAGTACACACAATTTATCGCCTCTCAGATGTGTACGCTACTCCGCCTTTCGCCCATATGGTCTTGTATTCTGGGATGGCATCAGATTGGACGCCCTGGGATTTCCAGGACCGAACAATTTGCGCGAATTGTTTTTCGCCTGGTCGTCCATACTTTCAGAAGAGGAGTGGGACGAAATATTAAGGCTGCAGCCCGTGACGCCACGGTACGACGAATTCGGGTATAGTGACTGACTTACGAACTGCTTATGTATAACTAAATGGGGAAAAAATTCTCCCCAGTCTTTTCAGTCTGCTGGTTTCCCAACGGCCTTTGTCATGATAGCGGCTGTCTGTTCATTGGCAACCAAGCACTGTATAACATGCCCAAGGTTCTGGACATTATTTTTGGCGACCCTCTGCCAGAGGAGAAAGATCACGTCCGACCACGAGCTCAGCGGCACGACCTGGTCGGCTGTCCAATCCAGTTGCTGAGCCAGGGGGATTCCGATTGTCGTCCGCAACGATTAGCCCAGCGTCCGCATTAAACAGACTCTCATAATAGGCACCGGATTTCTGGCAACACTCAGTCAATTATAACGTGGAGGGCTCTGGTGTCTGTCTAGAACTCACTTCGTAATGTGTACCATCAACGGTCACATCCCTCGAATGATCAATTCTAGCCAGACGGTTGTTCGATTCATCGATGTTGAGTTCCTCCAAGGCGCCCTCCAGAGCTGTTTGAAACAGTGTCTCGTAAGGGTCTCTACTGGGACTTACAACCCACCCATACTTCACCAAGTCCCCATAGTCTGTCAAGTGACTGACTGGGGTATTTGCATATTGATTTGCTGCTTCCTGGTCCCCGTCCATCGCGCAATGCAGTCTGCGTCCTTTCTCAACGTAGACATACCAGATATCCGCTCGGGCAACGAGTTTGTCAGGTGTCCGCTTGACGACCGAACTGCCCTGGGACCATCGCTGCATGTGCAAGCCATTGGCTGGTAGGACATACAGAAGAAAAATTGCAAGCAGGGAAAGGAGGAGGGTGCCTGCACGCCATAGATTGGCAGCAGGTGGTGTCCTGACACCAAGAATGAGTCGAGCCATGTAGACAGACAGGCAATCAAGTTGCAAGTAGTTGCTTTACGCAAAGAAGGGAAAGAAGACGTTGACGACTTAGGAATATAAGGGACGGCCCGCTGATCGGAGTCCAGAAGAGAAAATATGGTCCCACGTTCGAGCGACTTGCATGATTACTTTCTCGTCTGGGCTCCGATCAGCAAGCCCTACTTGATCTCTGCATACTTCCTATGAGGGGTTGAACGCAACAGGGGCATTACAGTCTGGGCCGAGGGTAAACTCCATGGATGCTGCTCGAGACGGACACTTTTGCCTGGTACAGCGCAGAAAGCGCGGTCTAAGTGCTGGATTAGATAGGACACGAGCTCCGCTGGAAAGTAATTTGCTCCATCCAGGCTACCTCGGACTGCTAACACTCGCATTTTCGGTGCAAATGCCTTAATCGTCAACAGTAGCTAACGGAAGTATGCAGCGAGAGAACTAGATTCAAGGGTCCAAGAGCCACTTGGTCCCAGTTCAATATCTGTAAATAAGCTGCGGCATTTTACCGACTCTTAGAGAGTGCTGGTGTTAGTTAGGTAGTATTGTAGGACTGGGCCTTTGAGGGCTAAAACTTAGGGCAGAGCAAAGTGATGAGCTGCGCCGCTGCGGGCCCTAAGGAAAAAGCGGGCTCATCCGTCTCGATGTACATACAAGTTTAACTTCTACTTTGATCATGTCTCACTTGAAACCCCCCAATCGGATCGACGTTTGCTTGCATTTCTCCGGTGTACTGACCATTTTTGAGTTAAAATATCGAGCCAAGTGTCTCGACCTTTTGCTACCTGACTAGCGTTAGTGCACCAATTTTTTGTTGGTTGAGCTAACGACGACTAAGATAAATGTGATCCCGCAACCGGCAACCCAGTCGGTGGAACGTGGGAAGAAGGCGATGCATGGTGCTGGCTGAAAGATGGTGATATCGGTGCCTTTTGCAAGACTGAAAAAAACTGTCCATCAAAGCTTGAGTGCCAACTAAGTGACTGGAGACGAGGGGGATGTTCGAAACCACCAGTCGTATCTGGCGGTTGCGCTCTTATGAATGGTATACAGGGTGTGTGTTGGGGCAAATGTGTTCCAAGAACCTCGGAACCAGTCAAGGAAGAATGGAACAAGGGCGACCCATGGTGCTGGCTCAAAGAAGACGATATAGGCGCCTTTTGTAAGGATGCAAAGGACTGCCCAGCGGATCTGAAGTGTCAACCAAGCAGCTGGGCCAAGGGAGGATGCTCGGTAAACACGCCACTATCCACTCGGGATCTCTTGGTTTCTGATAATGGGACATTCGCCCTATCGCAGGACCCCATGGCCTCCGGCTTGATTTGTACTTTTAGCTGCTATCCTAGGTGCACTATTAAATTTAAAAATTCTTCTATCCTTCGCTCATGTTAGTCATGTGCTAATCATATTCCTTAGGCGGAGTTGCTGCCAGCCTAGTAGTAATAATTGTCAAAGACATAGATTGAGTATTCAGACTCAGCTTCATGAGCTAGAAGAACTTGATCCCTTGTCGTAGTACTTTTTTTTTACCTCTCCCATCTAGACTGTAAGGATCTGAGATGTGCTTGTGAATCCTCCTAGTTGGCGTCCCTATGGCGCTTATCTTCCCGTGGATTCCGTCAGCGAAGGCCTTATCGATAAGCACCAACAACCCCACACCAGCTATCTTACATTTTTCTCTCCGACACGACTTCCCCAATTTCTCAGATCAGCACTACACCTACACAGTTCGCGTTTTGTACATATAAACCCGATAGACCTCTACATCCATCATGGTGCGTCACCGCTCTCGCGGTTGATATCCTACCCACCACCAATTCCAGGCATGCGCTGACCAAACCACAACCACAAACCAGCCTCACGCCGACTCCTCCTACTTCTCAACCTCTCAGGAACCCACCAAGGCAGAGGTATACGCACAGGTCCTCGAACAAGCCAAAGGCCTAGTAACAGGCCAGCGCAATTGGGTAAGCATCCCCTCACCTCCCTCACCTTCTTCCACATCACTAACACACCTACAGGTCAGGTAATCACCATACTCCATAGTAACCCAACCAAGCACACAAGACCCTGGTTTTCTAACAAAAACAGCAACTTCTCCAACATTGCCTCCCTCCTCTGGCACGCCTACGCCGCCCTCCCGTCCCCCTCCTCCTCCGTAAACTGGGCTGGCTTCTACATCCGCCAGGACAAATTCCCCTCGCTCGGCTCCCAGAACACACCAAGCGACAACAATAGCAGTATCCTACTACTAGGCCCATTCCAAGGCCGCCCCGCCTGCCAGGAGATTCGCTTCGGGCGGGGCGTGTGCGGTTCCGCGGCCGAGAAGCGCGAGACGGTGATTGTCCCGGATGTGTTGAGTTTCCCGGGGCATATTGCCTGTGACGCGAGCAGTCGGAGTGAAATTGTGGTGCCGATTTTGGTTGGTGGGGAGGTGAGTTTGATTTCTTCGGTGGAAGGTGTGTTGTGTTGTGTTGCGTTGCTGATCGGTGGTAGACGGTTGCGATCATCGATGTTGATTGTACGGAGCCGGCGGGGTTCGATGAGGAGGATAAGAAGTGGTTGGAGGAGCTTGCGTCGCTTCTATCGGAGTGTTGTGATTGGTAAGTGTGGTATATATGGTATGATGTGGCTCGGCTTTACTTCAGAAGTCGAGGTGCCCCTTTTTGAAGATATTCTCTACGTCCAAGGAACTTGGATTGCACGTGGCATTCCGTGAGTGTTGAAGAGATACTGTCCGAATGGATCATGGAAGGTCCATTTCTGTAATAGTTCAGTTGTACCTCAGCAAGTTTTCCGCTCATTAAGCGAAGCGGGAAGAGAATAGTATTGCAAGAGTAAAGTTCAATCTTAAGCACACCTTTGTGCCTTGAACAAAATAGTTCTATGACCGCACAAGTATCATCCCTGAAAGTCTATGCCATGTTCTTCGAGCAAAGTGAATGTCCCACATCCCTTGAACAAATGTATATAATCAACGCCAGTCCCATAGTTCTGCAATGTCTCGCGGAGAGCATCGCGGTAATGTGTAACACGAAAACATGAACAAAAAGCAAGCAGGAAATATACAAAGGCCGGCGGAGCCAGCTACATATTGAGCAGGCTCATCTGTCGCTTCATCGGACTGGTAGTCCCTGAGTCACCGTCCTCGCTGGGCCCAAGACCGCTGTCGGTGCCAACCAGACCAGCATCGGTATCAATGTCCCAGTCCTCCTCTTCCTCATCCGCAGATATGTCATCAGTCCCATCGCGATTCCAGCTTTTCTGAACGGCTCCGCGGGTGTTCCAACGCAGTGCTCGCTGAATACTTTCAAACCATTCCCCGCTCCCGGAGACCACAGTAGGAAAGGGGTACTGGCTGGCTTCAACGGTCACATAGTCCCCTTGGCGGAGCTCAACGCGTCCCTTGCCATCAAATGAACAGTAGGCACTGGAGCGGGATCCCGTTGGAACGGCAATACGGAGCAACAGAGAGTCTGACAATACCATTGGACGGAAAGACAGAGTATGGGGGCAGATAGGAGTAAGAAGAATGCCAGGAATAGAAGGATGAATAAGAGAGCCACCTGCAGACAGAGAGTACGCAGTAGATCCTAATTAGTGCGTTAGCCAATTGCAGACCATTTCAACCAAGCCCAGAGAACTTACCAGTTGGCGTGGAGAAGATGCAGCCGTCCGCCTGAACCACGGTCAAGAGATCATTGTCGGCGTACAACTCAAGATTTGACACATAAGGTGAAGGCCCCCGATCTATAACTAACTCGTTTAGTACCTCGAATTGCTCTCCTTCTTCGACTGCATCTGCTTCTGCACCTTTACTTCGGTCTTTGCGGAAGACTGTGCAGGTGAACCGCATCCTCAGGTTGACGCGCATGCCGACGTCTCCCATGACAGCATTCAAATGTGATTTGTAATTCTCGAATTCGAAATTCGTTAGAAAGCCGAGGCTTCCCAATGAGAAGCAGAGCACCGGCGGAACAATCCGCTGGAAAAGCCAGGACGTGAACAGGACCGTACCATCCCCCCCTAAAGTAAGAACAAGATCAAACTTCTCCGGAGCGGCCCAACAGAGATCCGGAGTCCAGTAATGCAGCATCTGCTCAAATCGCGGCTCAGATTGCAGCAGTCCCGCCGCGTCAAATCGTTTGGAATGCCGTAGCTTGGAATCAACCCATACGTTAACCCCCAGATCGTTCCCATATCGCGGCGTCGAGAGAAGCCACTCTGCTAGCTCTCGCGTCAGGTGCACCAGGCGGTTATCGCGCGCCTTTGTCACAATCATCACATTCTTCACTGCCCGTTTGATCGGCCGCCTTTGAAGCTGCTTCGACACCTCCCGCACTCCGGTTGCAGTTTGTACAAGCCGCGAATGCGACAACCACTCATCGTCGGCGATTTCCTCTAGCACCTTCTGAATGTTGACGGCATCGTCGAACCGCCGATGGAAAAAGCATGGCGATTGCAGGACCAGTTGCGCTGTTGAGGGCGACCTTTCCAGGTATTTGCCCAGCTGTAGGTTCGAAAGAGCCGCGGAAAGCTTCTGTGACGATGAGTTGCTGGACCGTTGTTGCTCCGTCTCCGCTGAAGAACTCGAATTGGGGCTTGTAGCTAGTAATCCGAGAGACGCCGCCAGCGGCGCATTGGAACTGGGATTGGTGCACAGCGACGGTCGCGATGCGAGGGCCTTCATGATCGTCTGTCGGGGTATAAGGTCGCTTGACGATGCGTTCTTGCGATGCTGCGAACCCAAGGGGCCCGCACTGCGGAATGAGAGGAAAGGGGACGTAGGTAACGAGGCGACGGGCGGCGCTTCTTCCTGGTGAAGCTCAAGCTTCCGCGGGACGTTGGCCCTACTGTTGGACAGTCCGGAGGAGGATTGGTTCACATGAAGATCGTTTGTCGACTGGGAAGGATCTATATGACTGGCATAATCCCGAAGGAGCGATGCACCGACGGTTGTGGACGTCAAGGAACAGGAGTCTGGAGAAGTTGGACCTGATAGTGGGGCTGCGGAGGAGAGCGGCGGTGATGAGGATGACGAGAGAGCGGAGGATTCAGAGGGAAGGGAGTCGGACTGGAGTTTCAGGGGGCCATGGCTTGAAGAAGAGGAAGCCATGAGTGATGATAAAAGCCCGCGAATGAGTAGCGGAGGTGTAGGGCCGACTGCCTTGGAAGGGGGGATTTGTGATTATTCCATTGACTTGGGGTGTTGTGTCTCTCAGACGTAAGACGGAATTATTGTTAATTCCAGCGAAAGATGGACAAAAAGGGCAAAATGGCCAACATGGACGGGGGAAAAGGACCGACTGCTACTAAGTAAGCTAGTGGAGAAGGCGGAGCAGCCGCGGCAGCCGTGTTCGGATGTAACGGGGTTTGGCGGCGGATTACAAACATCCTTAGCCTCTTCTCAGCCAGGGAATCGTGAGCAAGAATGTCCGGCATATTATGGCAGGTCCAGTCAGCATTTCGATCTGCTTCCATGGTCCGTAGTCTTTCATCATCATTTCAGATCGATCACAAATCATCATAAAGCATGTTGTTTTGCATTTCCAGAACAAGGTAAAGCAGCATTCTTTCCGATGGCATGCATATCATCATCTTGTTGCTCTAAGGAAGTGCTACGTTATTCTTGGGATAGGAATGGCTTTCTCTAACATAAAGGGTTTGGTCCCAGCAGTGGGAAGTGATAGTCATCGAGCAGACGCGGGAGCGTGATGGGACAAGGATCGTGGCAATAAGGTCAAGTCACCTCGGACCCATTCGTAGTCGGCAGCTTTGCCTGACGTACTGTTGAATTTCGTACAAATTTGAGTTTATGGCTGGCTATTTCAGTCCTATCTTCTGCAGGTTGGAGGGGTTGTTTCCTCCAATTGGTGGTCCATATTTAGAAATTCAGTGTCACAACGGATAACCCCAGGAACGGCCAAAGATAGTCTAGCAGAAGTCGACAGCGTGATAGCACGCCGGGCCAGAAAATGTAGAGCCAGATACTAGGTTAGCGTGTCGTGCGGTATGGGCTCGTGCAAGAATCCATAAGAGATGGTGACTCCGGAGAGCAAAACGCCTGTGCGCACCAATGGAAGGGTCTTAGGGTGTGCCTTGCAATAGTGCCGACGCCAAAATGTGCTCTGGTCATGCCAAAGCAGCGAATCTGACGTTGCCGAATGCACGGGAGGCCATGGCTTGAAGGAGCATCCCGAAATAGCACCTCTGCGCTATCAATGTGTTCATGCAGCTGCGATCACTCTAGCCCCAACATCACGCCGCATCGATCTTCCAGGCATAATCCTGGTAGACCTTGTCCTCGATAGTCTCCCGCATGAATTTCTCCAACCCTTGTTCACCTCCCTCTCCGTCCATACTGACATCGCCATCGGCACTGCCGGCCAATGTGCCGCGACAGATTGCGGAGGCATGCTGATGGACTCTTTCCCATGTAGCAAAGTCGAATGTTCCCTGGCTTTCATTCAGAAGTAGGTGACCCTTGCTGGAGAATGCCAAAACGTGAAGAGATTTCGCGGTTGCCGCTTGGCTAACAGAAGGCTGTCGGATAATATCTCCTGACGACGTGACTGCCAGGATGGACGCGGTGAAGGTCATCGATAGGGGAACAGAAGCCGAGATTAGAGCCAGAAGAGCAGCATGAAGAAGAGCAGGAAGGAGAGTCAGATACTGTTGAGTACAGGCAAAGTCAGCCATGTCCACTTTCGCCTAAGTATAAGATTCCACCACGATTGCAATAAACCACTCACCGAATCTCCCCGACAGACACTTTCACCACCCACTATCGCCAATGTAAGGACAACGCCTCGGCGAGGATATCCCTTCTCTCGTCCCAGAATCAACCTTCCCAGCATAGTTTTCAGGATCCCCTCAACATATCTTTCACCAACACCACCAGGAGTAGTCCCAGGTTTCACAAAAACTTCGACAGTCGCCTCTTCGGGCTTCAGTGCATCGCGGCGACCAGGCAGCTCGACAGGAGCATTTACGGAACCTAGGATGTCGAACCCCGTCGAAGGACATTTGTAGGATGCCGACCCGTCGGCGCGAGTAAGAGGAGTAAGGGAGGCGGTCGGCCCAACCATTGTGCTTGTCGATGATTGCCGGTCGGAAACAAGTTGAACGCCTAAATCAAGACCGGAGAAGAGCACCAGATCCCTCGGAAAAGCGGATAATCGACGGGGGTTTGGCGTCAAAGAAGAAGCTGCTGTGTGGAGGGAGAGAGAGAGCGACGGTCTTCCGCCTGGAAATTTTTGGCAGCAGGATTGAACAATGCGGGCTGTTTCCCGATTGGCTGATCTGGCTGCTCGAATGGCCCGCTCCATCCCACATACACAGTGTATGGCACCCACGCATGACAGGGAACAACACACGTGTCTCTAGAGAGGTATAATACATCTAACACCTCTAATGATCTTGTCCTGTGCAGCTTTACTTCTTGTTTCTGCATGATTCAGGCAGTAATAGAGGCGGTCGGAGCCCAAGATTCCCACCGTATCCGTCGCCTCCGAACTCAAGAGGACACATGATACTGGCGACGTACTCCGTAGTGTTTTCCCTATCGAGTCAGCAACACTGATCTGCAGTATCCATACGAAGTGAAAAGGATCAGGTTTGAATGCGCTTCCTTTCTTTCGAATCATACCAAGCGGAACTACTCCGTATCGTGTGACTTACTGCAACGACCCAAGCTATCGAGCTTGACCCGCGTCATTCCGCTAGGGCTTGGATCTTCCTGCGTTCAACACATGGCTTAAGAGCACTCCAAAGTGTTACATCTTCAATCTCCAAGTGCCGAGAACATTGGCAAAGTGGCAGTGCATGGCTGTCAAGGCCAAGGATTTCCGAATCCATTCTGGGAACTACTGCTCCACACACGGAGAAGGTTGTCCGCAAGAATCGGTTTACTAGGAGCTCTCAGTAATTGGCACCAGCTCACCTGCATTGGCGCCTGCTGTATACTTGTTACAACTTACATCGAGTTAGATGTATCTAGATATGCATTGTAGCCACTCTCTAAGGTTGATACTGTTTCTGGCCTGCATTGACGGCTCACGTGGATCAGGGTATCTTGCGGGATTCGCTCCCACCGATATATGTAAGGATGCATGACTAGCTCGCATCCTTGGGCTTGAGTAAGTATCATGACTTTTGGCTCTGGGAACGAATCATAATGGAGGAACAATCCTTGTCGGCCTCGGCGAGACTGTCCTCGGATCGATCGTCAACCAATCTAACGGCCAGCCACCCATGGCCCAAGCCTTTAGCGGCCCCGGAATTTGGTCTCACTTCACTTCCAACCAGTGTCGATTACACTGAGGTACGAATGAACTCGGCCAAGATCGAGCGATCCATCGTTTTCCAATGATATTCCATGCAGGAGCTGATGGAAGCATGGCAACCCCTCACAATCTTCCAGGTCAACGCCAGGGCTTCATCCATACGTTGACTGTTATATCTTAGGACGATCCCCGCACCTCTATTCGTATCCTAATTTTCACTTGTCTTTCAACATCTGAGACGCACGACCAATCCCATCATCATTCGGGCTCGTAAGTCTGATATTCATCAAAGGGGTTTCCCACGTCTGTACGAACCTTAATTGGATGGGCATTGAAACGTCTCCGCCTGATGTCGAGGAATCGACGGAGCCTCCTATATGTCCTTTTACGGACCGACACACTTCAATCTCAAGTAATCACACATGTGAAGTAAAAGCAGAACTCGGCGCGGACAAGCTAGAGTATCCTGCCGCCTTAGAAGTCTCGACGCCACCCTATAAATCGGCAAATGCTGCCTTTAACAATGATGAGGAGAGCTCAGCCCACTGTGCACACACTCTCTCTCCTGAGCAACTGGCGACTCTGCTCCAGGTCGATGTTCAGTAAGTTCCGCATTTTTGGTCCTTGCTCACTCCGTATCACCTCTCTCTGACTCAACTTTCCAGAAATGGCCTGTCGAGTACGGAAGCTGCCACTCGCTTGGAGCGGGATGGCCCGAACAGGGTGCAGGAGATCGAGGGCGTATCGACCTGGAAAATACTGCTGAGGCAGGTTTCCAATAGTCTAACTATGGTATGATCCTTCCTGAATGGCCATACCCCGGTTTGTCAAACTTCAAGTTGCCAAATGATACCAATGTAAACTCAGGTTCTCCTCATCACTATGGGTATATCATTCGGTATCCATGACTACATCGAGGGAGGCGTGATCACAGCAGTCATCGTCCTCAACATTGTCGTGGGGTAGGTTTATATACCCTGGATTTTGATGCCCTCAGACTGATCAATGTTTCACAGGTTCGTTCAAGACTACCGGGCGGAAAAGACAATTATGTCGCTGCATCGACTGTCCGCACCTGTATGCAAGGTACTGCGAGACGGCCGCGTGGTCTCCGCGCCGGCCGAGTCTGTTGTCGTTGGCGACGTTGTTCAACTCGCAGTTGGCGACATCGTTCCTGCAGATCTGAGATTGATCGATGGTACAAATGTATCAATGGATGAGGCCTTGCTAACGGGCGAATCCTTGCCTGTGAACAAAACCCCGCATATTGTGCTTTCTTCCTACAATATGCCCATCGGAGATAGAACCAACATGGCATATTCTGGATGTAGCATGACACAAGGACGGGCAACCGGAATCGTCACTGCTACCGGAATGAAAACCGAAGTGGGCAGGATAGCTAAACTTCTCCAGGAGACTTCAGAGGACGCCGACTCCAGTAGGCTCGTTAGGGCCGTCCGCCATGTCAAATCAACAGCAGAAAATGTCCTCGGTCTCGTTGGTACTCCACTACAGCTCAAGTTGAGTAAATTTGCGCTCCTTCTTTTTGCTCTCGCAGTTCTCTTGGCAATTATCGTCTTTTCTGTCAATAAGTGGGACATTGAAGGAGAAGTCCTGATATACGGAATAGCCATTGGCGTGGCCGTGATTCCAGAATCCTTAATTGCTGTGCTCACGATAACCATGGCGGTGGGTACCAAAGCAATGGCAAAGGGGAACGTCATCGTCCGGAAGCTTCAATGTCTGGAAGCTGTTGGCGGTGTCACAAACATTTGCTCTGACAAGACAGGAACCTTGACACAAGGAAGGATGATTGCACGTACGGCGTGGA